CCATGGCAAAAGGACGGGTGACAGCACAACCACGTCAGGGGGCCATTTGTGAGGATCTTTTTTTTGTGTCTCTGTGTGTGTGTGTGTATATGTGTGTGTCCCTTTGGTGTTTTGTTTCTTAAATTTATTTTTTTATTCACTCAATTGTACATTTTCTTCCCTTCCTCTCTCTTCCTTCTCTCCCAGTCGACTTTTTTTCCCCATTTTTATTAATTTTAATAAACATTTACAGAGATTTTGGATTTCCATTCATTCATTGAATTGTGAGGATCTTTACTGCAAGTGCTTTGAAAGTGGGAAATGCTAGATATAGTATAGCTGCTCGTTGGTAGTGCTGTCAGATCTATTATGACCAAGGCTGGGTTTTTGCTATGGCATTGTATTTCAGTATTTAGTATGAATTCTATGTCTAGTCCATATACTAATCTTATTTCAATCTCTTTTTAGAATCCTCTCACTGTTTTAAAAAAAGATTGATCCCTATTCCTTTTGTACATTGATCTATTTAGATACTTGTTGCCCCTCACTTGGTTATCATATCAGTTAACTAAATTGGCTCTGGAAGAGAATGGAGTGAGTGACAGATGCCACCCTTGGTCAACCTCAGTTCCAGTGTTAGCCAGCTCTTCTTTTCCACTCCCAGGATAGCTCATCCTTCAGTTTGTTCTCTGTCAGTGACTTGAACAAGCTGCAGCCCTTTCTCAGACTTCCAGGGCAGAAATTGAATATATTTGATCCTGGAATTGTTACTGTTGCAACCTTTCTTGGGTTCCAGAGAGTCACTCTTTTCTCAATTGGTGTCAGAGGGTCAGGCTTATAGGTGTAAAGCTTATCCAGTAGGGGTATTAAAAATGATGGAGGGGCTCCATTTTGGGCATTGGACCTAGAAGCTAAAATAAGTGTTCATTCTAAAAGCACTAAGTGCCCATTGTTTAGGCAGCTGTTAATCAACCAAGTTCTATGAAAATAAGTCCTTTTCATGAGGCAGTTGTGTGGGAATAGCTAATTCTGGCCTGACGCTGTGCAGTGTGAGGTTAAAAACATGGTAACTTGTCACAACACAATTCTTCTTGTTCTTTCTACTGTGGGCTGACTCTACATTACTCGCTTTGTTTGCTCTAGAATGGAATCTACTCACCATTTACTAAAATGAAATGCATTTCTTGGGGGAGGCAAAGTCCAGTTCACTAGGTCTTGCATCTTAAAGAGAAAGGAGTGTAGAACTTAAAGGAGCTCTGTTCCTTCTGTGTTTAACTGTTGGGAATGTCATTTAGTTTGCTAAAAATGAGATTTCAGTTCTCAGGTTGGATTTTATATGCTAAGACTATTTCATATCTTAGTGTAGAAGAAATTAATATATTCCTTGTGCATGACATCTTCCTAACAGTGCTGATTAATTTAGAAAAAGAAAAATTTAGCATTAAAGGGAATCTTGGCATGGTAAAAAGTGCAGTAGCTTTGAAATCTGACAAGTGTAGGTTCACATTCTAACCTTGGGCGAGGTATTTAACCTCTGAAGTTTAGTTTCTTCCTTTGGAAAATGGGGATCATAGAACTCATCTTACTGGTTGTCTAGAGATGATGTGTGGAAAATACTTCGTTGCAATAATTATTATCTTCTATAGTAATTCTCCTTGCATTTTTACTAGAAGCCAGTGCTGAACTTAGTTCCATCAGCGTTATGTTTCAGGAAATAAAGTGCATCTTTCAGTGGCTCCAGGGCTCTCCAGTGGCTAGCCTGTAGGGAGTTGTGCTGCTAACCCAAAAGCCTGTGGCTTTGAGGGAGAAAGCTGGATGACTGTCCAGTTTACGACTCCTCTTGTGCAGTTTATAACAGCCTTGGAAGCTTGCTGGAGGGTCAATGATGAATTGCTTCCCCACTCCATACAATGAGTTTTAGTTGTGCTTTTGTCTTTGGAGAGTTTTTTTGGTACTTTTCAACAGTTGTATAGATTGTTTCATCTTGGACTAACATTTTATATACTTTTGACACAGTGTCTACCCTCCTACCTAGATTATATTTGTTTTCCTTAGGGATTTACACATTCTTGGCCATCTGGGGAGGAGGCTGGATCCTCTCAGATACAGTTTGAACCTCATTTGGAATTTATGACTTCACAGCAATTTGGCTCAACTTGTGAAATACAATGTTGGGAAAAACATTTCTTCAAATCTCTCAGCATATGTGCTCTTAAAGTATGGTGTCTCCAAGAAGCTTTACTACAGTCCTGAAGGCATGTGGTTCGAATCTACTAGATGCTTTGCTAGAGGAAGGGCATCTTCTCCTGTGCCAGTGGGATCCTATTTGATGGTACACACAAAAAGGATAGTGTCTCATAGTTTTTATAGTCCAACTCCAAACCCATTCCCACCAAGTCCATTCTGACTTCTGAGATACTGTAGGATAAAACAGAACTGCTCCACAAGGTTTCCAAAGCTGTAAATCTATATGGAAGCTGACTGCCACCTCCTCCTGCAGAAGAACGAGTGGGTTCACACTGTTCACCTTTCAGTTAGTAGCCTGGCACTTTACTAGTTGACTCTTTGTATTTAAGGACCTTGCTTAAGTTTGCATTACAGGGTGGTGTACAGCATGCAGTTGGTCCTACTAACTTTTAAAATGGGAGGATGTTTTTTGAGAACTTTCATAAGAGGTGGTTTTGGCATTATGATAATGTAGTAAAATTGCTCAAGCAGATTGTCTCCATCACAGTTCAAATCTGTCCGCATTCATAGGTTATCCTCCTTTTCCTTTTTTATTTTAGTTGCCATTTCGTGTTGGTAGAGCTTGCAGGACTGTGATGGTGAAAAATGGAAATGGAGGATCACCTCAATAAATGGAGGGAAGATTTTCCAGGTTGTAGTTTAAAATACTTAAATAATTGAGCCACCAATCTCAGAGCCATGTCCATAGACTCAACTTGTAAACTACTATACAACTCCAAGGTTAAGAATTTAGACTTTTGTTCCCATTACAGTGAGCTCTTGAACTGAGGGGAAGGGATTGTATAGAACAGGAAGAGAAACAAGTATTATTCTTCCTTAGAACAAAAACACTTATATATTTAGCTGGGTTACAGCATTCATTTCGGTAAAGAAAGTCCGAGTGTGTCAGTGAAGTTGGTCTGTAGGATGATTTTGGATGTGTTTAGTAGACATTACTAGCTCTTTTAAAACGCGATTGGTCATGTCTGATTTGATTCTAGTTCTTGGGTCAGAAATATCGTTCACAATATTTAATATTCCTTTGGAAAAGTACAATTTACTTAATAGCATAGCTTAAAAAAATGGATTTACAAGCTCTGGTGGCCTAGTGGCAAGAAGCTGCACTGCAGTCCCAGAGGTATGTGGCTCGAATCCATCAGATGCTCTGTTGGGGAAGGAGGGGCAATCTCCTCCTGTACCAGTCAGATCCAATTTGATGGTACACACACACAAAAAATAGTAACATTTAAAAAAAGGGATTTACAAATAGGGGGAAATTATGTTATTTCCCAGCTGCTTGATATATCAGATTCTGGAGAGCTGCAGGGACAGTAAGTGCTCACACAGGTGTGACTGCCAGAAGGAACACTGAGAGATGGGTATTTCTTAAAACATGGCACTAGCAGCCTATGCTTTGTAAATCCCTGTTCTCCAAGTTGTTAATCTCTGCCATCGCTCAACTCTTTGTTCCACCTTAAACAGCAATGTGCTTATGCTTTTAACTTCTTTGCTGTCTGCTTCTGCTTTACTTGTCTTTTGGTGACAAATGCATGTTCCACTTTTCAAGGTAATTAAATCATTGGAACGCTTAAGAAAGAATGTGACATGCTAAGAAACCAGTTGGCTCCAAAAGGAATTGCCTATGACCTGTTCTCTTTACAGAGAGATATGTTTGATAAAGAGGCAATTGTGGCACAGTAGGAAAGGAAATGGTTTTTTAAAAAGTACAATTACTTTTCTTTCCTAAGAAGGTTTGGAAATATAAGAGTTTTCTTGATTTAGTTTGAGTATCTCTCAGGGACCCCAAAAAAATAACATCTGAAGAAGATGATTTCACTGGCTTCTCCTCTTTGGTCCATCACTCTATTCAGCTTTTTGTAAATTCCTTCAAGGTAGCACTGACTTTTTATTTCCTTTGCCTGGATCTGTAGACTAAAAGACTGGGTTTGTAGGTAGCAGTGGTAGCATGTTGTTGATTGCCATCAGGTTGAGCACAACTCATAGCGACCCTATGAACAAAAGGCCTGAAAAGCCTTTCTATAACTACCATCGTTTCTCAAAATTCCTTAGAGTTTCCAGAGGAATGTTGTTTAGGAAGTGGATGCTACTACTGCTTCCAAACCTGTCTTACACTGGGAGCTCCCCAAACACTGTCCACCATGGGTAACTGTTATGGCATTTGACACCCCAGTGACCCAAGGTTCAGCATCACAGCAACTCAAGTTACCTCAGTACAGCATATTTACAGAAGAGTGCTGTACCACTTAGAATATTCCTCCAAAATATAATAACAACCAACTTTTAAACATAGAGGCCCTTCCCAAAGTTTTGTTGACTCTAAACATGAGGCTTAAATAAAAAAAAAATGGTAAGAAATTGTGCTTCCAAAGCAAAGGTACATGGTTCAAATCCATCAGCTCCTCTGTGGGAGAAAGAAGGGCATTCTCTTCTCATGTGATTGTCTCTGAAAGCCCATCACGGAGGGTCAGCTATGAGTCGGTTCTGACTTGACAGTACACAGCAGCACTTAATCCCAGCAGAATGCAGAAGTCAGTTTTGAGGATGCTCTGGTGGCCTAATGGCAAGAAGCTGCACTATAACCCCAGAGGTACACGGTTCGAATCCACCAGACGCTCTGCTGGAGAAGGTGGGGCAGTCTCCTGTGCCAGTCAGATCTGATATAATGGTATACACACACAAAAATAATAAAATAACATATAAAAGAAGGATTATTTTTTAAAAAAGTTAATCTTGAAATTTAGTAACATGATTCTCTTTCTTTTCCTTTTTTTTAGGGAAGCAGAGTCTTTTAAGGAACAAGGGAATGCATACTATGCCAAGAAAGATTATAATGAAGCTTTTAACTATTACACAAAAGCCATAGGTGAGAGAACCTTCAGGATGTGCTGGACAGCACTCATTTGTCCAATACTATTACAAATTGAGCCTTTCTTTTTTTATTTTTGTTTCTTTTATTTGAGTGAAAATTTACAAATTGTATTACTTTTTGATCCAATCATTCATAGATATTTTGTTTTATAATGTTTGTTACCATTGATTAGTTGTCTAGTTGTCTAGCGGAGTGCTTCAAAATGGCTTCACTTGTGGTAAGCTAATTGAGTTCTTACTCAATTTGTTTTTCTAGTTTCTTGTCTTAATGAATTACTCTAGGGAAAACAGGTCCTTTTCCCTTATTGTTTTCAGCCATGTTTGCAGAACTAGATATAAATCAAGTATGTATTAGTTTTATTCCTTTGGACTGATCATTTTGACAGTATTTTCTGTCAACATGTGTAAATTTTTTTACCTAATCATATATCTGGGGTTGTTTGTGTCAGGGTATAAAATAGTTACTTCCCCCACTGGACATTGCAGTGCTACCTCTCTCAGTCTGTAAGTTTCCTCTGCTAATAAATAGAAATGAATGTGTTTTGCAGTCCCAGAGGTATGCAATTCAAATCCACCTGATGCTCTGCTGGAGAAGGAGGGGCAATCTCTTCCTATACCAGTCAGATCCGATTTGACAGTACACACAAAAAAATAATAATACTTTTTTTTTTAATTAAAAAATAAATTTTTTAAAAAAGAAATTAATGTGTTTTAGTCTGTCTCTGTTTCACTTTTTCCATTTCTCTGTGAATACAAATCTTGAGGGGCTTTACCTTAGGGAAACGAAGCCCAAGATTAATGTAATGAATTGGTTACAATATCTGAAAACCTTTCAGGTATGTTTTAAAATCAGAAAGAGTGACTCCTCCTATTATAAACAGATCCTTCTAAGATGTAGACTAGTGGTTACTATCTTATTAAAGATGACTTTTTCCTCGGCTTAAATGGCTAATTCTTTGAGAATTGAAGGGTTGTGTGTGGGTTTATACGTACACAAATTTATGGGCATTTTCAAAACCGGTGAATTTGTTAAGGCAAAAAGATAATTACCTAAATAAATCATGAACCATTTCCCAATTCATTAATTGAAGAGAGAGCTTTAAAGAACAGAAATTTATTTTCTCACACTCCTGGAAACTTAAACATTCAAATCAAAGCTCTCAATATTGGTTTATTTTTTTTCTTCCCATGTTGTTAACTGTTGTCCCTGGTTCCCTGTACAGTTGACTCTTGTACAATGCAGGTGTTAAAGCCCTCCACCTTCTCTCTCTCTCTCTCACAGCTGAAAATCCACATATAGCTTATGAAAATGAAAACCTATGTATAACATACTCTTTGACCTCAAACAACACAAGTTTGAACTGCCTGGGCCCACTAATATGCAAATTTTCTTTTCCTGTTTCAATTGCTGTGTAACAAACACATCCTTAGACCTAGCTCAATAGATAACATGATAAATGGAGAAAAAATTAAAGTTGTCATGAGTTTCAGTTTACCTGAATTTACAGTCAACACTGATGGAAGCGGCCATCAAGAAATCAAATAATTTATTTCTTTAGCCGTTTAATCTGCTGCCAGGAAGCTCTTTAAAAAGAACTAGAGTGTAAAGATCCCTTTAAAGACTAAAGTACACACAAGTCGTCATATTTTTGATCCCTTATAGGCATGTGAAAGACAGTAAATAAGACAAAAATACATACATACATGTGAAGGTTAGACACAGAATAAAGAAAAAAATCAATGCTGAAGAATTTTGGCATTGGTGAAAAATACTAAACCCACCATGGGCTGATGTAAGAATAGACAAATCTGTTTTGAAAGAAGTGCAGCCAGAAAGCTCCTTAGAAGGAGGATGTTGAGACTTTGCTTCATATACTTTGGGCATGTTATTATGATGGGCCTGTTCCTAGAGAAGCCTATTGTGTTACTGTTTTTGTTGTGTACCATAGAGTCGGAATTGACCTATAGCTGCCCCACTGGTGGGTTTTCTGAGGCAGTTCACACTGGAGGAGATTGCCTATCCTTTTCCTGCAGAATAGCTGGTGGCCTCAAACTACGTGACTTCGGAATTGCAGTATAGTTTCTTGCCAGTAGGCCGTTAGCACACCCTAGAGAGAAGCCTTCTTAAGTTTGGAAAAATTGAGTTAGTACAAAAGAGAAAGACCCTCAGCAAGATGGTTTGGCACAGTGATGGCAGTAAGTGCAAGTACAGCAGAGTTTGTGAGGATGGCATAGGATCTGGCAGAGTTTTGTTCTGTTGTGTGTACATAGGATCTCTGTGAGTCACAGTTAACCTAACAGCACCTATCAGTAAACTACAAATTTGCAGTGATTTCAGATGTTAGGAGAGTTCGTCTCTCTATTGGATATATGTATGGGCATGAGATAGATATAGATAGGTATATGATTATATCTGGGAAGAATTGTGACTGAAAAAAATAAAACTGTAAAAGGGATTTTTCTTTTTTTAATTTATTTTTGTGTATACCGTCATATTGGATCTGACTGGTACAAGAAGAGATTGCCCCACCTTCTCCAGCAGAGCATCTGATGGATTGTAAAAGGGATTTCTTTTTTTTTTTTAATTTTTTTTTATTTTATTATTTGATAAAAGGGATTTCTGAGACAGTTTGAAGCGAGCTCTGGTGGCAGAGCCTGTGGCAAATTACACTACTAACCCAAAGGCTTTGAGTTCCTGGTGATAAGAATCCACCACCAACTCTATAGGAGAAAGATGGGCAGTCTACTTCCACTGGAATTTGGAACCTCAGAAGCTTGATGTTAGTATAAATCAGAACTGAAGTTTGAGTGAGATAGTTTGAGGATAGACGTATACAGAGATGATTAGCATCACACAGTGTTTTAAGTATATACTTGATTTCACAGTAGCATTAGAAAAAAAGAGCTGCGAATAAGTGGGTCTGTCCAGTTCATTTCTATGTTATTCATGTGTCAACTAATTAATTGTCTTAGAAAATGACCTTTTTTTTAAAAAAAAAAAAGAAAATGGCCTTTGTATGTATAAATCTAGTTATTCACTGGGTCAGTTTGCCAACATATTTTGAATCTCATGTCAGCAGTCTTTTATCTAATATGCTTATAGGGAAGTCTCTGCATTCCAACTCAAGAAATTCCTTTTTATAATACGACTCATCGCAACACTGTGAACAACAGATCTGAACACTGTCCTGTCCTGTGCCATCACATCATCTCTGACACACTCAAGCCCATCATGCAGACACTGTGTCAGTCTACCTAATTGAGCATCTTCCTATTTTTTGCCATCCCTTCATCTTCCCAAGCATCCTGTCTCTTTCCAAGGAATAGTGTCTCCTAGCAGCATGCCTCAAGTATATGAGAAGAATATATCATTTTTGCCTCCAATGAGCACTCTGGCAACACCTTCTCCTGTTTATTCTTTGTCAGGCCATAGGATGGTCAGTAATCGAACACCACAGTCCAAAGGCATCAAATCTTTTGTCATTCTTATTCATTGTCTAGCTCTCAGCAGCACAGCAAGTGATTATAAAAACCATGGCCTGAATCAGGCGCCCCTTAATCTTTAAACTAACATCGTTTGTCCTTAATAATTTAGAGAGATTCCCTGACTGCAGACTTTCTCACTGCAAACTAAGAGGTTGACAGTTTGAATCTATCAGTTACTCTGGTAGAATGTGGGGGAATGAAGGCTGTCTCCTGAAAAGATTTATATCTTCGAAGACCTGCTGTGGAGGGTTGCCATGAGTCAAAACCAAGTCAGTGGCAGTTAATTGTGTTTACACAAATACCATGAATTAAGAAGCTAGATATAGGGGAGCTCTGGTGGCCTAGTGGCAAAGAGCTGCAACTACAATCCCAGAGGCGCACAGTTCGAATCCACCAGATGCTCTGCCAGGAAAGGAGGGACAGTCTCCTCCTGTACCCGTCAGATCTGATTTGACGGTACACGCACACAAAAATAATAAAAATTTTAAAAAAATAAAAAAAAGAAGCTAGATATAGATATATATAGATACATATACACACGCACACATACACATGCACAGTACTGACCCAAAAAAAGAACAATATAAATCAAAGCTAAATATTGGAAATTATTTTTTTTAATGACTTATTTTTTTACATTTTATTACATCAGATGGGTGAGGGCTTTAGGGGACAATGGGGCACACTCAGGCCTTCTTCAGGACATCACTGAGTTCTTGCTTCCTCCTGGCACGGATGTGTGTCCTCACCCTTTTCTTAAAGAACTTGAGGGCCTGCTTGCCCTTGGAAACCTTAACAGCTTCATGACATGACGCTCTTAGGGCACAAAGCTGCACACCTCCTAGATCATGTCCCACACAAACTTACAAGCTTGGTGAGGCACTCGCAGCAAAGGCTGTGCCTCGGCTTGCTCACATTCTTGGTGACTTTGTGGCCCTTGTTGAGGCCCACGGCCATGGGGTTGCGCACACCCATGCCTGCTGTACTTCTATCGCTGCCACTTTTAATGACTTTTTAATGGTTACCATTGCCACTGTCCATTTACACAGATGAAGAAAACAAAAAACAATGTGTATAACACGTTGAATTAAAAAAGTCATTTTCCCCCTGTAAATTTGCATGCAAATATAAAATGTTAAAAAAGGGACAAATTGATGATACCTTTAGAAGAGCACATGTCCTTATTCTGGGTTTTTTGTGCTTTTGACAAAGTTCTGAGGAAGGTAGCCTCTGAGTTTCTTTGAGGCGATGAGCTGTGTAAACTTTGTTTCATTCTTCTGTCTTTCCTGCAGATCTGTGTCCTAAAAATGCTAGCTATTATGGTAACCGAGCGGCCACTTTGATGATGCTTGGAAAGTTCCGGGAAGCTCTTGGAGATGCACAGCAGTCAGTGAGACTGGATGACCGTTTTGTCCGGGTATGTAATAGGGCTGTTTGGAGGAAACAGAACTAATGCAGTTGAATTCCTCCAGCCCAGCATTTCTTACCACTTAGCTTTATTGGCTTATTGGACCAGAAAGCTTGTGAGTGTAAGGCCTGTCCCTTGTCTTATAGGTTTAGCAAGAACTCTGAATTTTGTTTATTAGCTACAAGTAACACTGGTCCTCCCAGTTGTGACAGCCAGACATTGTTGCAAAACATTTCTGGCGAGAGGGACCCTGGTGTAATGGTTAAGCTCACAATATAATAAAAACATTGATAGTTTGAACTCTCCCAGAAGCTCTGAAGGAGAAAGATCTGTCAGTCTATCCACTTCCTTTTCTTGGCTTTCAAAGATTACAGCTACGAAAACCTTACGAGGCAGATCTACTCTGTCACGTGACATAGGCTTTCTACATCCCAGACACAAGTAAATGGGCCTGGGAAGCAAGATCTCCCCTGGTTGAGAATCTTTTGCTCTAGTCTTTTTTTTTTTTTTTTTAATTTTTATTTTATTTCATTATTTTTTGTGTGTACCATCAAATCAGATCTGACTGATATAGGAGGAGATTGTTTCTCCTTCTCCAGCAGAGCATCTGGTGGATTTGAACCGTATACCTCTGAGATTGCAGTGCAGCTTTTTGCCACTAGGCCACCAGAGCTCTCCTGCTCTAGTCATTTTCATCCTGTAATTATGTCTGTGTGTTTGCTACTGTTTGTTCCTCTCTGCTTGACCAGTCACACTGCTTTGCTTTCCTTTTTCTTCCAGGGACACTTACGAGAGGGCAAATGCCATCTCTCTCTAGGGAATGCCATGGCGGCCTGTCGCAGTTTTCAGAGAGCCCTAGACCTGGATCACAAAAACACTCAGGCACAACAGGAGGTATGATCTGATCCTGCCTCTGCGAAGAGAGGCAGTATGGTGTGTTTGATAAGAAGAGTGAGTTAGTAAAAAAGTCTTTGAAAATTAGGGGTTTCTAAGGTCAGTGGGTATACACAGATGTGCTAGGGACCTAATTTGAATGAAGTTAAAGAGCTCTGATGACCTACCAGATAGAGAGTGCTGCCAGTTCAAAGATGGACAGTTCAAATCTACTGTAGTTACTTCAAAGGAGAAAGATGGATACTTTATTCCATGTGATTTGTTCTGTCTAAAAACCCTCTGGAGGGTCAGCTGAGTCTGTTTTGACTTTAATATGAAGAATTTTTTTTTTAAGAATTCAAGTAAACTCAAGTTCTGATTATACTAGTAAAAATTAAAATTTATGTTACATCTAGTCTTGCATCTTCATAGGTACGGAAGTTACTATGCTCCTCGAATGCTAGTGAGTGAGAAATATAAAACTTATGCTGGCCTATGGCAATGCGTTATTCATATTTACATCACGGGAACCCAATTTTACAAATAAATTGTCTTTGAGGGTGTATCTTTAAGGCAAATTTGTAAGTAGATACAGTAAGGGATACTGTTTGTACCTAATGTTTAAATGTGGTATACCTGGACATGTAAAAAGTATTAAGCACTTCCAGGTGCACTAACACATAATGATTAATAATGTTTTGATGCATAGTGCAAAGTTGTACCTAATTGTTGTTATAAACATTGTATGTACCTTGAAATTTTGTGGGGATCAGTTTGTAATTACAGGTTGTATACAACAACCTGGATACTGCCTATATATCTGAGTGAATCTTACATTTTTGTCTTCAAGTTCAAACTGAGAATATAAGTTCAGCCTTAGCCTTTATGTGAAGGAGTCTTGGCAGCATCTTCATTAGCTTGATTTGTAAATTTTATGGTTCTTATATTGAGGACAACTTCTTCAAGGCCTCACAAATTTTTGTGTTTGTTTATGTACAACTTTCTTAATAACTTCTGTCTTATTTTCCGGTATAGTTCAGGAATGCAAATGCAGTCATAGAATATGAGAAAATAGCAGAAATAGATTTTGAGAAGAGGGATTTTCGGAAGGTAAAGTACTGAAGAAATCTTTTCTTTAAGTTCTTAGTCTGTGTGATCATTAAAAAGTAAAGAGGGGTGTGGCGGTGTTGATTAGACTGAATTATTACTTAATATGCCTTTGAGATAACTTAGTCTGGTGTTATGATAAAAAGCAAAATGAATTTGTTATTTGACCATGTTTTTATTGTTGATGTAAAGTATTACTCTAATAAGTTAAGCTACATAATAGAGGAAATACTATTTGGAATTATTTATGAGATTTTAATAATCCAGTTTTGGGTTTTTTTTTTCTCTTTTTATAATGAGAACTGACTTTGTATAAAATGGGATGGTACTATAAATCAAGAATCGAGGCCCCTTTTTGCATTTTTGAGCAGTGAGCATAACATGTCATCTTTTTTACCTTAATCCTATACCCCTTATGGAAATTTACATATCAAAGAAGTTGACAAATTTGAAATAGGAGAAAGGTATAAAAGTTGTAGATCTTTTTCTAGATTTATTAGTAGTTATTCCTGTGTAATTCCTGACTCTGTGTAATTCTGGCTCTCTTCTTTGATACTTAGTTTATATATGGTACATATATGGGAAGTAGCTTTTAGTAGAATTTTGAAAGGTGAGGTAAAAGGCCCTGATAGAGATTTCTGGACAACTTAAAAGAGGTTTGTGAATACCAGGTGAGAAAGGGAGTCAGTTGTTAACCTCATGTGGGAATTTGTGCAATACCTTCTTAATTCAATAAAAAAAAGTACAGTGAGAGTCTTTTTAAAAAGCTATACATGGCATAAATCTTTGCTAATATATTTTTCAAGTTGTACAGAGACCCAGCTTTATTTTATTAGCAAACCTCATCTACTCTTTGGCTCTAATAACCAGTGTATTGGTGGTGTCATGTGTAAGTTTTTGGTGGGGTGATGTGTTGTATGTGTGTGAAGAGATTCTGCCTCCTGTCACATAGGGTTACTTAGGGAAAAGCTTTGTCTTGAAAGGGCCATCTTTTGCGTTTCTTTTTTCTCTTGTACATTCTGGAGCCAGAATCCCTAGTTTGTGACAGAATCCTCTGTTTGAGGCATTCCAGCCCCACCTCCCTATCTCACTGTAGCTCATGGTGATGTCACAAATGAAGAATTATGATCCTGGCAGGGGAAACAGATGAACTTGGAAGAAACAAAGATATTCTTTGCTTGCAGCTGTCCCTAGTCATGGAGATGGGGGGTGGGAGAGAAACACTGAGCCTCAAACAGATAATTTGAGGAGCAGCACTCTATTCGGGATGTCAGGAAGGCAGGAGGGTGTGAATTTTGAGCAATTCTTCTCCTAACCTGTCGCTGGAAAACTCCACACCATAGTCCTACAAAATAACCTGCTTTGAATTTTGTCCTTGAATATCCAGGACAGTATGTTGAAGGAGAAGCATTCTTGACACCACTCTGTTTACACTAAAAAGTTGCCTCAGTAGAAAGCTCATGATGCTTACTTGCCTCCCCCTTGAATTTAATTTTGGGGAGGAAGTGCAAAAAGTAGTTGTCTTATTATATATGACAGCATAGAGGAGACAGGGTATGAGATTCCCAAAGCCATCTCAGCACAAGTTTTGCTGGGATGTTTGTAGACCAGTGGAGAAGAGCTCATTAGGAGCTCTGGTGCTGTCCATATGGAGTTGTGCTGCCACACCTCTCTGGCCCTTCAAATCCACCAGCAGCTTTGTGAGAGAAAGATGGGCAAGCTCCTCCCATCTAATTTACAGCCACTGAAAACCCCCTGGATGGTCAGCTGTGACTTCTGACTCCATAGTTTGCTTTTTTTTTTTACTTTGACTCTTATTAATTAGTGTTCTATTTTTATTGTATATTATTTTTTCCATCACCCAACTTACCTGTTATATTAAGTTTTGCTCCCTTTTCAGCCCCATTAAGCCCCCAAGGCTGATCCTATCTGTGTATAGTAAACTTTCTTCCTTAGCTTTTAATTCTGGTGATCTTATAATTGTCCTTTTGTGACTGTTATATACTTTCTACCCTAGTTCCCTGCAACTATCGATATATTTTCTATCTCAAGAGATTTATAATCTATGTCTTTTTGTATCTGGAATCTTTTGCTTATCATATTTTCAAGATAACATACTGAGGCATGCTACAAAGTGAGTAATTTGTAGCATGCCTCAGTCTGTTATTCCTTTCTATGGTTGAGTAATTTTCCATTTTAAGAGTATAGCATAATTTGTTGATCCAGTCCTATATTGACAGACATCTGAGATGTTTCCACTTTTTGACTGTTATAACTAGTGCTACTAGGAATATTCACATACAAGTATTTGTATGTTTCTTTTATTTTGTATATATACCTAGGATACTTTGCAGCTTTGGGACTATGATTATCACATTTTAAAAAAAAGGTGCTTCATTAGAAAATTGGGGATAGAAATACCATTTGTCCAACAACCTCTCTACTAGGTATATAAGAGATGTAACATGAACTGATAGACTCACACCCATGTTTACTACAGCATTATTTACAAAGAATTGGAAACAAACCAAGGGTCCATAAGTGGACGAATGGCTAAACAAACTGTGGTCCGTTCACATAATGGAGTATTATCTGTCACTAAAAAACGATCAAGAAGCTGTGATGAATGATGAATGCACAAGATGAATGTTTCCAGACTTCATTCTTTCATGATCCTCCCTGCCAGATTATGATAGAGAATGTACACCTCTGGATTTTCCTTTGGGTCATTTATTCTTGAGAGAGAGTAGGAATCCACATTGGCCTCCCAAATAAGCCTTAAGAATAGCAGCTAAACCAAAAAGGAATGCTTAGAGAGCAAAGTTTTGTGCTTTTTTTTGTTGTTGTTATTTTTTTTTTATTATTATTATTATTTTGTGTGCATGTACCGTCAAATCAGATCTGACTGGTACAGGAGGATATTGCGCCTCCTCCGGCAGAGCGTCTGGTGGATTCGAACCGTGTTCCTCTGGGATTGCAGTGCAGTTTCTTGCCACTAGGCCACCAGAGCTCCCCATGAGAGCAGAGTTTTGAAGAAAGAAAATGGAACTGTATGGCCACCCTTGATGAGGCTGAAGGCTTAAGCCTAGTGTTGCTTGTTTTGGGGAAGTGAGATGATTTTGACTGTTGGTTTGGTTTGTATAGCAGCGTGTTGGGAATAGTAATCTGATACTGTCTCGTTAAACCTATGAAGCATCAACTATTTTGTTGGTGTGTTTGTGCTGAAATATGGGTGTAGAGTGGCCTGGAATCCTCAGTAGGCTGTGAGGCTCATGCACAGGGAAAGAGCAGACTGTGAGCAGGAACATGAGCTGCATTGAATCCAGACCAGGGTTTTTTAGCCATTCTGTGTCTAAAGGAGGTAAATAAGAGAAGTTATACCAAGTGGCAAATACTGTGGTTTTTTTTATTATTATTATTATTAATTTTAATGAAAATATACAGACTTTGGATTTCCATTAATTGATTGTTGCACTTTTCTCCCTGCCCACGCCTCCCTGCCCCCAGTTTGCTCTTCTCTTTGAAAAGTAAAAGAAAAATTCTTTCATTGTTATATACTCTCTCCCTCTAAGTCCACTCTACTATGCAGCCTTCATTCTGGACTCCTGTCATGACAATAATACCTAATCATATATCCCTTTTAAACAGTTCTCTCCCTCATCTGTTTCAGTGCAGTATACATAATTTATCCCATCTTTCTCAGTCTCCCCCCAACCCCGATGTCAGTCCCTTTTTACAACAGTGGCCTTATGCAATATTTGTCCTTTTTGACTGAAATATTTCACTCAGTATAGTGTCCTCCAGGGTTGCCCATTTTATGTAATATTTCATGAGTTCCTTGTTTTTCAGTGCAGCATAGTATTCCATTGTGTGAATATACCACAGCTTCCCTATCCATTTGTTGATGGGCACTTAGATTGTTTCCAACTCTTTTGCTATTGTGAATAAAGCCGTGATAAACATGGATGTGCAGATATCTGTTTGGGTGGCAGTTATGGTTTCTTTGGGGTATATTCTCAGTAGTGGAATTGGTGGGCCAAATGATATTTCAATTTACAACTTTTTGAGAGAGCACCATACAGCCTTCCATAGTGGTTACACCATTTTATACTCACACAAGCAATGAATAAGGGTTCCAGTTTCTTCACAACTTTGCCAGCATTTGTTATTTGCAAATACTATGTTCTATATAGCAGGATATGAACTTTGGCCATTTACTGTGGATATGGTCCATTATAGAGGCTGCTGAGCTTCCGGATCACTTTACTGGCTCTGGAGTATTGATGTCTAAGTTTCAATCATTTATATTAATTTTGGCCGTTTTGATCAAGTTCCTTAATATTTAAATGCCTCCATTTTCTTTCTCATCAGTAAAATAAGAATAAAAAAATTAACTACAAAATTTGTTTTTAGGTTTGGAGGGGATAATGTGTAAAGTACTCTGTAAGATCTGTTGTGATACTTAACATCTGGATCAACTGTTCTCATTCAGTGGTTCAATTAAGTGTATTGGTGATACTAAAACTCTTAATATTTTCCTCCTCAAAAGTGATCACAGGAAACTTCTCATCTGTTGGCTGTGACTAAAGTAAATTGATGACATTACGAGGGTTCAGGATGAAGAGTCTCATTTGCTTTCTTCCTCCATACAGGTTGTTTTCTGCATGGACCGGGCCCTAGAATTTGCCCCTGCCTGCCATCGCTTCAAAATCCTTAAAGCAGAGTGTTTAGCAATGTTGGGTCGTTATCCAGAAGCACAGTCTGTGGCCAGGTATGAAATCAAACCAATACCTTATTGAAATGGCAGGTAATACTGGATTGATGCTGTAAGGCTACTATAAAGTCTTGTAAAAAGGCCTCCACAATGACCTGACATCAAAAAGGTTAGACCAAGTTTGAAAACCTATAGGGTGGATTTATAGGAGTAGATACTTGAACTGTATGTGAAAGAACAGATTTGATTTGGGTTGGTTTTTTAAACTTCTTTTCTTTAGAGTACTTATATTCTGAGGGATGGTCATTAGCAAACTCTGTCTAGAGACACATAGGAAAATTTCAGGTTTTGCAAGTCTCTGCCATGATAGTGCAAAAGCAGTCACAGGTTTAAGATAAAAGCAAGTGAATTGTTTTGGGAAGGCCTCTGAGTGGTACAGTTCGTGTTTGATTACTAAGGTAAGTGGTGTTAACCTACCCTGTAGCACTATGGAAGAAAGGCCTGGTAACCTCCTTCCATAAAGAGTGCAGCCAAGAAAACCCTATTAAGCAGGTCTGCTTTGGCGTGCCTGGGATCACTGTGAGTCAGAATGGGCTTGACAAAAATATTCTGGGAAAGCTTGGAACACTGACTTCTGTTGTATACTTTGAAGATTAGATACATTTTATTTGTTGTTGTTGTTAATGTGCCCTCGAGTCGCTTGCGACTCATAGCGACCCTATGTACAACAGCCCTACTCTGCTCTGTCTTGTGCCAATCACACTGTCTCTGACACTCCCATCCTAATTATCCCAGTCACTGAATCAATCCACCTCATAGAGGGCCTTTCTCTCCTGCCCTGTCCCTCCACCCTCCCAAGCATGATGTCCCTCTCTAAGGACCGGTCTCTCCTAACAACATGTCCAAAGTATGTTAGACGGAGCCTCAGAATCCTTGCCTCCAAGGAGCCACCCAGTTTAACCCTTTCCAGGACAAATCTGTTTGTTTTCATAGCAGTCCATGGTATCTCAATACTCTTCTCCAGCACCACAGCTCAAAGGCATCAATTCTCCTTCTGTCCTCCTTGGTCATTGTCCAACTCTCTGATGCATAACAGGTGATTGCGAAGACCATGGCCTGTATCAGACGCACCTTAGTCTCCAGAGAGACACCATTGGTCTTCAGTACTTTGGCGAGTTCCCTAACAGCAGACTTTCCCATTGCAATGCGCCTTTTAGTCAGTGAAAAAAATTGGCACAAATGGTAGGGGTATGCCAGACCCCAGCTGAGTATATCCTTTTTTGGCTCTTGCAGTGACATTTTACGAATGGATTCCACCAACGCGGATGCTCTGTATGTACGAGGTCTTTGCCTTTATTATGAAGATTGTATTGAGAAGGCGGTTCAGTTTTTTGTACAGGCTCTCAGGATGGCTCCTGACCATGAAAAGGCCTGTGTTGCTTGCAGAGTAAGTTCTGGGTACCAGGTCTGTGTGGGAAAGGAAGCCTCCCCTTGGGGCCTTAAAGATGCTTTGAGGGGAAAGTTGTTTTTTCTTTTTTCATTTTATTTTTTTATTATTTTTGTGTGTGAGTGTACTGTCAAATCAGATCTGACTGGTACAGGAGGAGATTGTCCCTCCTTCCCCAGCAGAGCATCTGGTGGATTCGAACTGTGAGCCTCTGGGATTGTAGTTGCAGCTCCTTGCCACTAGGCCACCAGAGCTCCCCTGAGGGGAAAGTTTTAGAATCCCCAGAAATAGTGTCTCTTTTTCAATTGCAAAAGATATTTGTTTATTTATTTATTTATTTATTTTTTCCATTAGAAGTTATCTCAGAGCCATTTTTACTTCCCTAAAGGTAAGGTCATGTGATCATGATAGGATAAAGTTCTTTTGATACCTAAGTGGTTTTTATTTGTTTTTTCTTCCTTCAACTGAGAAAAAAAAGAATTGAGAATTCTTACCCTAAGACATTAAGGCAGGCTGTGGGTTACACAGATCTTACTGACATTTCCCCCCCACTTCTTGATTTTATAAAATCCCCCATCCATTCCATTCCTTGCACAGTAGGTTAATGGTGAACTCACCTGACTGCTAACTGAAAGGTTTTAGGAGCATCTGTAGGGTCTGCTCTGCAACAAGAAGGCTCCATGTTTCCAACAATTTGAATCCATCAGGCACTCCGTGAGAGAAAGATGGGTACTCTTCTCCCATTGAGATTTGCCATCTCAGAGACCCCATGGAGGGTCAATTGTGAATCAGAACTGACTTGTTGGCTGAGTTGATTCTACTCTATAGGAAGCACAGCAAGCAACAGAGGATTTGTAGCGCAGGTGGGGAGGTGAACGTGAACGCTGGGTAAATCTGAATATTGGGATTCAAGAAACAGAAGTAGACTCTGGCCTCTAGGTAGGGCTAGGTCTTGCTGCATGTGTAACTGACCTCCCTTTGACTTTCCTCATAGAATGCCAAAGCACTTAAGGCAAAGAAAGAAGATGGGAATAAAGCATTTAAAGAAGGAAATTATAAACTAGCTTATGAACTATACACAGAAGCCCTGAGAATAGATCCGAACAATATAAAAACAAATGCTAAACTCTACTGTAATCGGGGTACGGTTAATTCCAAGGTAAGTGCGTGGTCTGGGTGTTGGGGCCTATGAGATATTATTAAGGGACATAAAAGAAATCTTGGAAAATCTGCCCAAAGAGGATAAACTGGATGACAAGAGGAATTGTTTGAATTACTGTCTTAACTTGTTGAGAGCTACTGTCTGAGAGGCCAGCTTTAATTGCTCCCTTCTGTAGATATCTGAAAGCACTTGAGGGACGGTTTGGGAGGGTAGACCCTTCTTTTCAAGGTTCCTTTCCCTAAGCTGGAGAATGTCTAAGAATTGTAGTTTGATGTTTTTGAATCAAGAAGCAAGTATTACTGCTTCTTGATTAAGCAAGTGGTTATTTCTTTTTTTATAGCTATTTGCAGATTTGAGGTTTTTCCCCTCCACCATAACTGATGGTCACATGCCCAGATGGAAATAAATTTAAGTGCCCTTATGACCTTAAGCTCATAAGAAACAAAGAGCAGGCTCTTTTGCCCTTTAAAAAAGTCTTGTAGTTAAAAATCATAGTCATTCTTGACACTCTAATTGGCCTCTGGAAAAATTCAGGGCAAGAACTTCATTTACTAGTTCTTTGTCATGGAGTACTGACGTGGAAAAACTGAGGTGGTTTATCCTTGCAAACAGGTATACCTGGCTTGCATCATTTAGGAAAGAAACCAATTCCAAATTTAGGGAAGCTGCCTAGTACCTTAGATCCTGGTTTTCCCACTGACCAGGAGCGAATGTGATACTTAGGGGGCCAGCATGACTGATCATCTTAGAATGGTGAAGCCATGCTCACAGCTCTGGGCTCCCTCAGTCACCAAAGATGTGAAGTATGACTGCTCTCTTTCTCCTGAAGCTTAGGAAACTAGATGATGCAATAGAAGACTGCACAAATGCAGTGAAGCTCGATGACACTTATATAAAAGCCTACTTGAGAAGAGCTCAGTGGTGAGTGCCTCTGGCGGGAGGGGGGAAGAGGTAGTTGCAGATGGCCTACCAGGGGACTTGCATTGTGGATGCTGGAAGCAGACCCAGGGATGTTGTGAGGTCATTTGGTCCTTCCCCCTGCCTCTAGGTGGGATTGTTCCAGTCCTAGACTATCTTTATAGACCTCCAGCGGAGGAGATTGCACAAGCTCCCTCAGTCTCCCATGCCTGTGTCTAACGCCCTCACGGTCAGTACGTTTCCTCTGATACCTGACCCACATTCCTTTTGTTAAAGATTAAATTCATTGCCTTTGGAGATTTTTGTGTTGTACAGTTTTGCTCTAACTTGGCACAGTGCTTGGCACATGATAGGTGCTCACTCAAGAAATGTTTTATTGAATGAATGGTATGGTGCTTGGAGAAATTCTCTCTTGGAGACAGTTGAAAGTTGTGCTTACTTGGTTTGTTCTGAGTTAGGGTTATAGTTGGCAAGAGTTTCAGGTTAATCTAGTTCAGCCACCAAGCAGTGCGGTGTCCCCCTTGTGTAACATCTGGGGTAGGTTATCTGCCCGAGTGTTTTGATCTGGAGGACTCTGCCTGACAGGCAAGATGTCCTGGCTCATCTTTCTCATGAGCCAGAATGAGCCTACCTCTAATGTCTACGTCTGTGCTCAGAAGTAAGGTGTCCCAGCACACTTGCGCATCTAACTCTTTGGCCCACCAGATTATTTTCTTCAGACAAGAGCATTAACAGCCAGTAGAGACCTGTCTAAGTCTTTCTCTTTTATTTCCACTGACCTTTCTGTTTGCAGCTGGATGCTTTAACCACTGCACAACCAGACCTCCTAAAGGAAGGCGTATGTATATGCCACTCATCCAACAGCTGTTTCATACCTTGTTAGGAAGCTCAGATCCGGGAGCAGTATTCAGAGCTTCTAGTCTTGTTAGTGGTGCAGACCTTCCGTTTAGCATGCAGTCTTTCCCCAGATTATTCACTCTTTTTTAAAAAGTAGGAAACTGCTGCTGATTATGGTGCTTTTCATTAAAAGTGAATTTCTAATAGATGACTAAACCTGTCAGAAAGAGAAGGACACACAGTAGAGTCTACAAGACCAGCCACTATCTGTCATCCGATCTTTGAAAACTACTGACAGACAAAAGTGTGAGCTTGGGAGAGAAGGCTCCCCTTTGAATCAGCCAGAGGCTTATTTCAACAGAAGTAAAATGTTCTGTGCATGAAAATGTTTATTGTCATTTAGTTGCTAATAGTAAAAGAGAATCATTTAAATGTCTAGAGGAAAGGAGAGTGGTACCTCAGTCTGTGATACTGTATTTATTTACGCCAGGTGCATATGTACAGAATATGTACAGGTACAGATCAGTAAGACACTCTGATACTTGAATGAGGTGTAAAAAGAGAGCAGAAAATTAGTTCTTCTAACAGGAGGAAGGAAGGATGACTTGAAAAGTCAAGAAGTGCTCTTCTGTTTGTGGTAAAAACATAACTATCTTTAGTGGCTCTGTACCGAGATCCCACCAGATTTTTTCTGTATCTCTCATCAGAGTCTAGAATTTTGCCTGAAGCTGTCTTTACTTTCTAATGTTTGTTTTTCTTTAATTTAAAATCATCATCATCATCCATATAAAGATGTGAAATAAAGGTGGACATCACTGTAGTAGAAGCCAGTTCGATGCATTACAAATAGGCCTGAACATTGCATCTGGTTGCTTATTATGCGAGGTTTCTTCTCCCAGTGCTGTCAGTTAACATTGCTGTTCCTTTAAATCCCCGAATTGAGATGTTGCCAAAATATTGGGAATGGCTAAGTTGTCGGGCTTCTCTTACCCAGCACATAAGTGTCGTGTCCCCACTCTGGCCCCCGGCCTGGTAGAGTGGTGTATACAGTGATGGACTTATGTGGTAGCAGTAAATTAACTCTTGTGTAGCAAGCAGCAGCACTGCAGAGTCTCTTCCCACTAATGGCAGTCCTTGGGACTCCACCCCATCTGTTTGACACCAGTGATCTTAACAGGACATGGACAGAGCCACTTGCTTCTGTGGAAGGGCCAGTAGACAGCCTTTCAGGCTAGTTTCCTCCCGTCTTGGGTCAGAGGCCCATCCTTCCTGCTGTGCTACTGAAATAATAGCAAGCTGGTACTTGGGCTTTTCTCTCTGGCTTACCTGTTTTTCTCAGGTGGATTTGGTCTTACTGGGAGCATTTGCCAGCCACCATCTTGACCTCTCTCTCTTGAGTTGTTCCTCCTCATGGCTCACTAACCCCACTTTTGCTCTGGATTGGAGCCTGTCCTGCATGTTTATGGCACTGTAGGTGCTTTCATATCCATATTTCCCTTTCTTCCTGTCTGCTTCAATTCTGATAAATTACCTAGATTCCTTTGTGTTGCCTTTCCTAAGGCAGTTCATATTGTTTCTCAAGCAAATCAAAATGAGCTTTCTCCTCTTAATTGCTTTCTACTTCAATCCAAGCGTCACATTATTAGATGCATTAAAATGCCTTGGGATTTGTCCTTTTTTTTCCCCCTTGAGGATTTGGTAGCTTAAGTATTTCTTTTAGTACTAAATGAAGGGCTTGATAAGATGAATCTTATCAAGATTGTATGTCTGCTTGAGCCATGCCTCTTCTCCCAGAGTGATCCTGAAGGCCGTTATGTTCTAATCGAACATAGTACTAACCTGTATTTCTTTCTCAGTTACATGGACACAGAACAGTATGAAGAAGCAGTTCGGGACTATGAAAAAGTGTATCAAACAGAGAAAACAAAAGGTAAAGTTTGAAGTCATTAGTGTTTCAGGGAACTATGTTGCCATACTCTTAAATCCAAAAGTTGAATCAATGCCTGTTTGAATCAGGGATCAAGGAAGTACCTAGGCCTTTTTTTACTAAATCCAGGAAGAAATAAACAGACCCCAGCTATTTTCTGGTCTTGGGTTTTCTTTGCCATGTTCATTTCCTTTTCAGTGTGTTGGAAGTATGCATGGTGTTTTTGGTTTTTTTTAACCTCTAGAAGAAAGCATCACAAAAGCCCATGGTGTGGTTAGCAAGGCTCAGAACTGCCAAGCAGCTGGGCTAATGCCCAGCAAGGGAAGCTAGAATCAGATTCTTCTACTGATGCCAGATGTCTTCTTCTAGAACACAAACAGCTCCTAAAAAACGCACAACTGGAACTGAAGAAGAGTAAGAGGAAAGATTACTACAAGATTCTGGGAGTGGACAAGAACGCCTCCGAGGATGAGATCAAGAAGGCCTATCGGAAGCGGGCCTTGATGCACCACCCAGGTAGAGCACCTTGCAAAGCAGGCAAAGCCCTTTGCCAACCTCAGACTGGAGGAAGCCTCAGAGAGGCCTGTCAGCTGAGGATAAATACTGTATCACACATACATAAAGTCATCTCTTCTCTGAAACTTTGTTTTCCTGAGACTGACTTCATCTGCATTCTCCCACGCCCCTCCTTCCAGATCGACACAGTGGAGCCAGTGCTGAAGTTCAGAAAGAGGAGGAGAAAAAATTCAAGGAAGTTGGAGAAGCTTTTACTATCCTCTCGGATCCTAAGAAGAAAACTCGTTATGATAGTGGGCAGGACCTGGACGAGGAGGGCATGAACATGGGTGGTGAGTCGATGGGGGCAGCCTGGTATGACTGAGGGTTGAAGAATGTTAGACATTTCCCTAGAAATATTCCAAAGAAAAAGTCTGTACTGACGCCTGAGGTGATGTGCCTGCTTAGAGAGAGAGTGTGTGTCTATGTGTACACACACACACGGTAAGTGTTGGTAATGTGAGGTGCTGCCCTTGGTGCCAGAGGTGCAGGATGACTCGGACAAGTTCTTATAGGCGCTGAGCCAGGAAATTGGATGCGCTGATGGTTTAGTGGTCAAGCTCTCAGCTATTAACTGAAAGGTCGATAGTTTGACCTTTAGTTCCATGGAGGAAAGATGGCCGTCTGCTTCCATAAAGATTGTTGTTGTTGGATACCGTGGAGTTGGAACTGACGCATATCTGACTATTTGGTGGGTTTTCATAGGCAGTTAATCACATAGGAGGAGATTGCCCATCCTTCTCCCGTGGAGCAGCTGCTGGATTCAAGCTGTATGCCTTAAGGATTGTCGCACAGGTTCTTACCGCTACGCCCCCAGAGCAGCTCTCAAAACCCTATGAGCAGTTTTAATTGACTGTAGCAGCCATTTTATTTTGTGGTTTGTGCGCGCATAATAAACTAAAAGCTTTTTCCGTGGCCTACAGTCTAGAGTGGGTAATAGACATGAATTCAGAAAAGGCAATAAGTTAGAGATCTTACATTTATTGTAAGTAGCCATTTTAATAATTTTAGCCTTTTCAGTAACAAGTCAAGCTCAGTGTAAAGTATACTCATTGTTGTCCAGTCTGTTTGGATTCAGAGACCCTCCTTCAGTTTTTCAAGGCTGTGAGTCAAAGTAAAAGATTACTTATCTTTTTCCTTTGGAACAAGTTTTAGATTTGAATTGCTAAGACATGCAGCCTTTGGGGTAGCAGTACAGCTTGCTAAGGGCTGTTTCACCAGAGCTTACTCCAACATTTTATAGGGAGACAGAAAGTTGCGGGGGGGTTGGGGTGACAAAAGGCTGAACGTTGAGAAGTTTCCTATTAATCAGGGCAAATGGTGTCCAGCTATTGAAAAGGCACAGTGAAGCAGATAGAGTGAGGTGAGTTTTTCCCTCGGGATCATATTGGAAGGGAGAGTATCCTATTAGTGAGACTAAGTGATAGGTTTGCATAGAGTAAGACATATTTACACACCTCACTTTCAAGTGATGGAAAGAGAGTTACTATATTACCTAGGAAAGTTTTGGAGGCCCATTCTCAGGGTCATGATAAGCTCTTCAGACACTTCTAATTTTATCACTTTTCCCCCCTTCATGTTACTTCTCCTGCTTCACAGATTTTGACGCAAACAATATCTTCAAAGCATTCTTCGGTGGTCCCGGGGGTTTTAGTTTTGAAGGTGAGTATGCCTAGTCCCTCAGGAGTCCCCACACCACAAGTGGACACAGTAACTCCTCAGTCAGAAGGTCACTGATGGAGGAGGGGAGGGACTGTTAGATTTGCCTGGCTTCGGTTCAGGTGGTTGTGCTTGCTGCCAGAGCTGCTGGAGACAGTGCAGTGTTCAGAAGCTGTGCTCACACTCGCATGCTCAATCTCTCATTTTGAGTGAAGACACCTCCATTGTCACCTATTAGTTTGAAAAGTGGCCTTCCTTAGAAAATGCAGCGCCCGCTAACAAGCCTATTTTTTCCTTTCAGCATCTGGTCCAGGGAATTTCTTTTTTCAGTTTGGCTAATAAAAGGACATCAACCACTCAGAACCCCAAAAATGGAGACTTGCTCAGTTTAACCTTGAATATGGACACAATCCGACTCCTCCCTTCCTTACGTCTCCGTGTTCTTAGATCAATTTCATTTTCTCAGTTGGATACCTCTGTCTGTGTGAGTGGGGTGAAGGAAAGGGAGCCAGCGCCCAAGACTGTGGGAAGGGGAGGGAAGCGGGGGATTGGATAGGGAGGCAGCTTGTGAATTTTTGTTGTACTGTTTAACTTTATTAAAAAAGCAGAAAAAATGAAGAGAATAAAATGTTTTGGCCCTTTCTGGCCCTTTGCTCTGACAGCTGCTTTGTGTCACTCCGGAGTCGGTGGGCAAGAGCTGAGCTGCAGCATGAATATGTGATCCCAGGGTGAACTTGATCCTCCACAGCCTGCCAGAGGCATGGGGACTCCGGCAGCATGTGGTGCTGGCTGCCTCCCCCAGACTGGTTCAGTGGGGTGAGGCTGAGCAGGCCCCAAGTGGACTGCTGCTCCCCTGACAGCCAAGCACATGGGCCCAGAGAATATGTTCCTTTTATGGCGTGTGCCCATAGTCGGCCTCAGGTGGAGCGGGGCCAGCTAGGTAGGGGCTGTAAAGACTCAATAGTTGCTATTGCCATTTGTGTACAGACGGAGGTAAGAGGATGAGATCCTAGCTCTTCACAGTGGGACAGGGGATCCTGAGCCCTTGTCTTCTCTGGGCTTGCATGCTGTGTTGCAGGCCAGGCTGCTCAGGTCAGACTTCATGCTTTGGTAATTTTTTTAAAATTATTATTATTTATTTGTGTGTGTACCATCAAATTGGATCTGACTGGTACAGGAGGAGATTGCTCCTCCTTCTCCAGCAGAGCATCTGGTGGATTTGAACCTCATACCTCTGGGATTGCAGTGCAGCTTCTTGCCACTAGGCCACCAGAGCTCCCTGTGGTCACATTCTCAGGCGCTCTGGCACAGGTTGGTAGCAGTGAAGTATGCCTAGGAAATAACCCCCAGTCCCTGCTCCCACCTCTAGTTAAGCCTGTAGCACATCAGGCTACTTAGCCCAAAGATGGGCAGCAAGAACTCAGCTGTAACTTTGAGGTATAGATCTCGGTTGCATTTTGTAGACACCTTTACTGGCCAGGTAGACACTTACCCTGCCAGAACCGCGGAAGCTAGTGGAATATGCTGCTGCTCTTTTTTTAAGGGAATCATTCCCAAAGGGTTTTCCTGCTTTTAGTAATTGAAATAGGGAAGAGGGCTATCTGACCGAGATAATTCTCTTCCTGCTGTGCCTCTGCCCCTTTTTCGTCTTCCATTCTGCTGGCAAGGCTGTGAAATAGCGACCTTATTGGGCCTAGAACTTTCACTTTTGGCTAGCTAAATAAACACTATTGGTCTGGAAAAAAATTCTTGAATTGTGACAGTTCAGTCCTTTACAGAAGCAGACTGCTACATTTTCTCTCCCAGGAAGCAGCTGGTGGGTTCAAACGAAAGACCTTTCAGTTAGCAGCCAAGTGCTATAACCATACCCCATGGCTCTTTGTTGGTTCTTCCTCTTGTTTGAGACAGTGATGACCTGAGATGGCCATAGTGGCTTTGAGTCTCTCTAGATAGAGCTGAGAACACCTGTGGGCCCTTCTGCTGGTTAATGGGCTGAGAGGCTTTGTGCTCCAGGTCCCTCACCCACCAACCCCCACCTCCTAGTGAGTCTAAGACCAGCCTCTCTCTCCCCTTTCTGCTTTCCTATGAAAGCCAACACTGTTCAGCTGCCCAGCCTCACCACAGCTGTGCCCAGCCCGCAGAAGAGAGACAGGACCGATGGCCCCAAGCTGTGGGACAAAGCCAGTCCTAACACCCAGCCCAAGTCCAAGGGAAGACCTAGCTGGGCAAGAAGGGAGAGAAACCACACACAGTTAAGATTAACATGATTTATTTAATTATCAGTCTTCAAAGTTACTGGAGTTGGGCAAAGCCAGGATAGTAACTTAAATACCAAGTACTTTTGCTGAGTAACAGCCTAATTAGTGAGGCTCTGTTATTGAGCAGAAGGAAGTGGGGATGCCAAGGAACCACAGTACATGCAGGCACTGAAGTGTTACAATTCTTCCCAGAGAAGCAGGTAGACGGGGGCCAGGCCAGCCAGGGGTCCACTCCATCGGCACCACGTACCCACTAACCCCCTTTAGAAGAGGCTCACAGCCTCCAGACGCACCATGGAGGCGGGATGGGATGAGCTGGGCAGACAGCAAGGCTGGCATGTCCCCACCCAGGGAACATAACTAGCTTCAGTATCCCCACCAATCAGCGGGAAGGATGGCCAGCCTGCCCCTTCCTGTGGGCAGATTAGGAAGGCAGCTTATCCTGCTCTGGCTTCTACTTTCTGTTTCCTTCCCTAATCATCAAACCAGTTTTATCTAGATAAGGTGTGAAAAGGAGCAGACGGGGACCCAAGGTCAAAGTTGGGCAGTGAACCCTTTTCTACCCTGCTAAATAGCCCCTGCCGCCTTGGGACTGTGCTGATTAAGAAAGGGATCAAGACCCAGGGGTCCCCCACCCTAGATCCTCCATCAGTTTTTGCCACCCCTTGTCCCACTCCCTCATCTACAGCTCTCAGGGGTCCTCACAAGCCCAGCCTGGCAGAGTGGCAAAGCTAGGCGACCCACTACCTAGAAGCAAGGCTCAGAGTTCTGGCTGTGGCTCCAGGCTCAGCCTGCCTCTTCAGCTTTAGTCCAGGTTCTTGAACGGCGCCTACTCAACCCCCAACCCCGTGTTGAGGGCTTGAGTGTTAAGAAAGGAAGAGAATGTGTAGGAAGAGGTGGTCAGTTATTTTACAAGCTTTTTAAAAGTCACAGGTTGTTAACGTAGAGTAAAAAAACAAAACAAAAAACCCTTAAAACAAAGATCAAGTGGAGGATGCTCTCTCCTCCATTCTCTGCCCCTTCTAGAGTGAGGGGCCCATGGTGATAACAGGTGGGCACTCAGAAGATAGTGCAGGACTGCAGGGCACCCCCCTTCCGGCTGCTCTGTGTGGGCACAGGCTTGCCCTTGCCGTAGTATCCCGTGAAGATGGCTCTGACCTCCATCTTCTTGGGTAGGTGCAGCAGCCAGCGCCCGTTGCCTAACGAGTAGAGCTTGCCCCGGTGCAGCTCACCCACCTCCTCGCCTCGGTTGCCCCCTTTCTCCTGCCGCACAATCTCGAGGAGGTCAAGGCCTGTCTGCACAGCCTCCACATCACTCGCACAGCCCAGGGTGATGTGTGCGCGGCTCCCTCGAGGCAGGTTGTCAGAGGGTGACAGCTTGTCCACATCATTTGGCCACAATGGCAGCTCCTGCTCACTCAGCTCCACCCGGGCTCCAGTCGTCTTGGGCGTCACAAAGAGGGCGGAGATGGTCAGCTTGAAGGCTTTGCAGTATGATTTCTTCACCACCTAGGAGAGAGCGAGAGGGGACCGAGCTAGAGGTGTCTTTGGAAGGGGCAGTGGGTGGGAGTCACTCCCCAAGAGAAGGGTGAGTGCAGAAGCAGGCAGGAGCTTCACGTAGAGGCTGTGCTTAAAGGTCTATCCTGTACAAACGTCTGGAGGGCACCTGTGTGCTGGAGGACATCCACCACCACACTCTTCAGGCTGATATTCAAACCATGGTGCTCAGAGAGACAAGTGAGCAAGGGTCAAAAGTCAGCCCACCTGCACTTAACCAAGCTGCACCACAGCCCAGTCCATGGCTTTAAGCAAACTCTTTAACCTTTCTGTGCCTTGGTTTATTCATCTATAAAGAACTGCTAGAAACTACCTCCGAGTTGATGCAAAAGTTAAAAGATTGAAAAGCCTAAAATTGTATGAGGCACCTATATGTGCCATTGTTGTTATTAGTAAAAACCGATCAAGTACAGAGACAGTACCCTTTGGTAAAAACCAGTCATCAAGTAGTAGAGGTACAGACAGTACCGTGGAGGGCAAACAACACCCCCTTACCTGCACGGACCTTCAGTTCCAGAGAGAGAAAACCATTAAGTAATGTGTAAAACAGGCAGAAAAGGAGAGATCAGGGAAAGTCACTAAAATGATACTAAAGGAGATTAGGGATGCAGCTCTGCACATCTGGGGATGTATCCAAGCATCTGAGAATGGGTTTCGGCAGTTGTGGGTATAGGTACAGCGGGCAAAGTTCTGACAGACCTATACCAGTAAGCTTTACTATGTGCCAGTGAGTCAGCACTGACGCAGAGCTGGCCCTCCAGAGGCAATAAAGGGCACGCACTGTCTAAGCTTGGCCTCAGACATTGACAGCTCAGTACCAGGCTCCCTCGGGGCAAAGCCTTTGACACACTATTAACAGAGTGACTGAATCTGACAAGAAAGGCACTCTGGGTAGGCGAGCGCACAGAAAAGGCGCTCTCTGGAGCTGTGCCTGGGAAGGGAGGAGGTGGTCTTGAACTGCTGTCTTGCTTTCTGATAAGTACCTGCCTTGCCCTGCACCCCTCCTCTCTGCCTTCCTACCACATCTCGAGTCCCTGGGGAGAACTCACATCCTGCTGGGCGTACTCGTCTGCCCCTGCGGCCTTTCCGTAGTCACAGAACTTGGTTGTGCAGTGCAGCACCCCCGGGGGTCTCTTCCCAAAGTAGGTAACCAGGTCAATCTTCTCCCTGGGCTCGTCAGAGACAACTGCAGGGAAAAGGAGAGGGGGCAGTGAGTAAGGAAGGCAGCCTCCCCCTAGGTGGGTGTCCCAGACCGTGAAGGCTCGGAGACGAAAAACTAGATAGTAAGCATAATCCATGTGCAGTCCCCTGTAATCTGTAGCTAACTCAGAACCACAGAAAGGATTTTAAGTTCCCTGGTTGTTTTAGTAGATGTTTTTCTTCCCCACAATTGAAAACTCTTGGGCACATGTGGGGTAGGCAACAAGTCATAAAAAGAGGGATGAAAATAAGAGGGTTAGGAAAATGGTACAAGGAGCAGAAAAACACATCATCACTGGCATCCCGACCCTGCCCCAGGAGAGCGGTCTGACATGGGGCAAGCGGGCCATCCTGTTAATCTGGTAACAGCAGTGGGGTGACCAGTGTCCAGTTTCCCCAGGACCACTTGGATAATGCTCAGCAGTGCCCTGTGTCACAAATTTATCTAGAGAAGTACATGACCTTCATGATAGACGTTTTGTGGGGGCGTTTGTGAACGACAGCCTTTAACAGGCCTGTGCAGGAAGGGTCCTGGGACTCATAACAGGTCAGTATCAAGAGTCGTGTAGACAAAAGTGAGGTCTGGCATATCTGTGATTTCAGTTTCCACGCCTGTAGCTGTCTGGAGTCATCCAGGTTTTTTTCTGTTCATCCCCCAGGTGAGTTCCCTCACTCTCCACAGGGGAGGAGTGCGTGCCCTGCAGCAGGCCTTGTTCTTGCCTTATTACATTTCTCCTGCTATCCCAGACAGAAAAGGATTCCATTTTTTTAATGGTAAAGCCAGCTTTGAGAGGCTGTCAATTCCCAAGGCAGAGCCACCGGCCAACCTGGCACTGCCTGTCAGGGCTTTTCTCCAGTTAATTCGCACACAGGGTGGTTCCGTCCAGGCCAGTGTCCTGCAGGCACCCAGGTCCCTGGGCCTCATGGCTTCATGGTTTAGAAGCTGAGAAAAGGACTCCGGCACAAATTACCTGCCTCAGAGTTAAGATAAGAAACTGACATAAACATGGGTGAGCATAGTTCAAATACAAAGACTGTCTCCCATTTGGGGAACTGGAAGTGAGTTAATAGGTGGCAGAGCTGCAGCAGCACCTCGTAGGAGAATAAAGGCCATGGAGGCCCTCCTGATCCACATCAGCTACACACAAACAGCCCTGGCCTGGAAAGAACCTGGCCCCACCCTGGATGGGGAAGCCCGCTGGGTCTAGAGTCCAGGGCTCTGGTCTCACAGTGGCTGTGAACAATAAAGCCCGCTTCCCTGTCCGTAGAACAGGAGGCTTGGAGCTCAGTTTAAGACTCATTCTCTGGAGGCTACTGAGGGGCCAAGATGGAGGTCAGGAGACCATGCCTTACTGCTTTTTTTTTTTTTAATTTTAGAATTTCATGTAGTATTTTGTTTTAGAAAATGGTTCTGCTAAAAATGATTTGGAAAACTTTGGGGTAAGAGTCTCAAGTTTGATCATTTGTTGACGTGATTTCTGTGTGGATTGCTTTCTCACCCTGAAGCAGGGACAGTGGTCCAGATTCAGGTAGGAAGAGGGGAGGGGAAGGCAGAAGAGGGGGGGCAAGGGGTAGGTGCAACAGGTAGAGGGGCACTCTAGGTGCTCCCCCCTCCAGGGCCACTTCTGTCTCCTATCGAGGGTACCCATCTGCCTTCCCCAAGTGGCTCCCAGTCTTTTTAGAGCATTAGGCCTGAGCACACATCACCTCAGTACCCAGTGTTTGCTGGGCTAGAGAATAGGGTCCAGGGTGCAGAGACCTGGCTTCCCCAGCCCCCCCAGCTGCCACCTACAGTGTCGAAGCTCTTTCTTGAAAGCCTTGTGGTTCCCCAGCTCGTCCAGGAAGGCCTGGCCAGTCTTGCGGAGGATCTCCGAACTCTTCTTAGTCAGGAACCAGCCGAAGTAGAGTGGCAGGAAGTCCTTCTCCAGCGCAGGCTTCAGCTTCTTCAGGTCGTCGGCTGACAGCTGCCACTGGTTCTTCTCCTTGAGCTGGGCACAGTCCAGCCGCCACGCCGTCTTGGGCTCCACTAGCACCACCTGGTACTGGTACTGGTCAGCCATGTCAAAGAGCTGCTCCAGCCGCTTCCGATCATGGTTGGTGTCGTCTAGCACAAGCACTCTGACGTCCCTGCGGCAGTAGGCAGCCAGGTCCTCGTCCAGCTGCTTGTACTCCTTGGAGACGTCTTCCGTGGTGCCAGGCGTGATCTTGTAGGCATCAGCAGACACCATCTTGGTGCCATCCCGGTACTTGTCCACGATGGCCCGTGCCAGGGTGGACTTGCCGCTTCCCGGCAGGCCACGCAGGATGAAGAGTGTCTTGCACTCATGCAGCGTGACCACCGTCTCCTCGTCCAACAGGAAGGGAAACTGTAGCTCAGGCTTATCCTTGGCCCCTGAGGATGACATTTTGCGGAAAAAGATCTTCGGCAGGAATGTGTGGCTCTTTCGGGAGAAGCCTCTGCTCTGGATGAAAAGAAAAACAGATGTCAGCTGCCTCACCAGCCTTGCCCCGGGGCTCCACCCTAGTCTAACCTGGCTACCTGGCTCTGGTGTATGAGCACCCGTAGACTTTACAAGGGCCTGCCAAGTCCCTTGGTGTTCCTGGGTGCTGCACACAAGCTCAACAGCTAGCAAAAGGTTGGAAGTGCAAGTTCACCCAGGATACCCAGGAAGAAAGGCCTGGCCATCCACCCTCCCCAAAATGGGCCATTGAAAGCCAGCAGAGCACAGTTCTCTGATACATACCAGGCCGCCATGTGTCAGAGGAGACTGGACTGTACCTGAAAAAGCTGACCTGTGTCCCACAGTAGGACCTGTGTCTCTTGAGTGGCTTGAGAGAAGCCTGCCTACCTGGGCTTCCTTCTGGCCAGAGGAGGGCCTGAAGCCTGTGGTTCTGGGGCCCAACCCTAATCTTTAAATTCTGGACACATATTAAGGATGCCCTCTTTAGGGGTGGGGTTTCTCTAGCTGGGCAGAGCCACAGCTGCCCTGGCTCAGTGTGTATGGGGGAGCGAGAGGAGGGTTACGGAAAGACTGCCTCCCTGCCCCCAACTGTGGCAGCAACTGATAATACTCTCTTGTCTGGGATGGGGGGGACAATGGTCCCAAAGAAGGGCTGGTGGGGGCAGGGCGGGAGGGCACTGGACAAAGGGCCTCTTTCACCAGCCTGCCACCTCCTCCTGCCCTCTCTATCCCCCGCAAAGTCCTGGTCTTTGTGCCTGTCCTAGAACAGGACGGCACAGGCACCTGCGTTCAGGGGCGAGCTCTGCCCACCACTTTGGTGTGTCACCAGCACCTCTGAGCACTTGTTTTCCCATCTGCTACAAGCCACAAGTGACAACGGAAAGCTAAACCGCCTTCTCTCCCCAAGGGACCCCGCCTCCCCAGCGCCTCTACGCAGGCATGTGGCACACAGGCCTCTGTGCTGGAAGGCGAAGAGCAGCTGCTCCGTCAGGCCAGCACGAGGGTCGCTGGAAGACCCCTGGTCAGGCCCAAACGCTACCGTGCTCTCCCCAGTTTTCCACCTCCTGTCCCCACTGCTCTCAAATCAGCCCGCCTGTCTCTTACCGGACTGCACCCTGTTCTCAAGAAACACCAAACTCAACTCCAGAACCTCGGTCCTCATTTGCATGCCACTTCCCCCAGGCACCCAAAAATACTCTGGTTTTCCGTGAGCACCACGTCTCCCCCTGCCTGGCCTTTCCCTCTCCCCCTGACCTTTGCCCCCGGCTTACCATGGTGAGGAAGGGGCGCCGCCGTCGCCGCCTCTGCAGGCACTCGCTCTCCGGGCCGCCCGCCTGCGCGGAGGGACACGGAGCGGAGCGGTGTAGCGACCACGGCCCGGGCCGCCTTACATACCCCGGGGGTGGGGCGGGTGGGGCGGTGCGCCAGCTCTGCGCAGGCGCCACGGGAATCGAAACCGGGCGGCTCTGCGCGGGGACCCGCTGCCCGCTCGCTGGCCCCGCCGCTCCGCGCACCTCCCGCGCCATGCATCTGCACCAGATGGCACCCTGCGGGACTGCTTGGCTTTTTTCTACTTGTTAATGATCAACTCCATGCAAACCACTTTCCCCGCTGCACACTGCCAGCCCCAAGATTAGAAGCGGTAAAGTGAGGAAGGGTCACGCAAGGAATGGGGTACAAAGTGCCTTTAAAATGGGCTTTTGAAGTCTTTTTTTACGAGATTGTATTAAAATACTATTTGATTCGTCCGTTTTTCGGCGCCCCCTTGACGGGGGGGGGGGCAAATAGTTAAGACACTCTGCTACCCTTAACTGAAATGGTGATGGTTTAGGGTAATTAACTGCTGAAAACACTAAGGGATGTAGTTCTACTCAGAAACACATACGAGTCTTAATGAATCAGAACCTCTCCCCAGCAAGTGACTTTTACGTTTGTCCTGAGGCAGTGCCAACCTCAGCCTCCCCTAGTTCCGTGCTCTGCCCCAGCCTGAAGTTGTCACAGCTCTAACCCATCTGGGATAGTGAAGACAGCATTAAATGGGCAAGGACTAGAGTGGAATCTTGACTTACGCTCTAAGGTCAGCTCCCCAGCCCTTGGTCGGCTTGCTTAGACCTTGCAGTGTTTCTCTTCCTTGAGGTCCTAGGACAGGTTCGGGGTGGGGGGATGCTGAGTTTCACACCTCAGCCTGACTTGGTTGGGCCTTATTTGGGATTCTGGGACAAGAGTTCTACTTGAAAAGTGATAACCACACAGCATCACTGATTGACTTTCTCAAACTCCGAGGCTGGTTAGGCACAAAAAGGCAAAACTTAAATGTAGGGCTGGAATATGTGTATTTAAAGGGAAAACAGTGGCAGAGCTGACCAGGATGGCCCCATCCCCCATTTTTTGCTATTAATGACAAATCTCAGCTTGAAAATCCAGTTTAATAAGATCCCCGTCATTCCTGTGAACACCAGCCTCCAGATCTTAATGCCTGTTGACCAGGCTTCATCTATCCTCTCCACTTTGTTCCATCTCTTCAGAATTTTCTATGTTTCCTATTTCTTCTGACTCTTCCAGTTCTACGGATGCTCTTCTGCCTACTTCTGACATTGTGCTTCCTTCTGAATCTCTCCTCAAACCGGAGAGCCCCTGGCCTACTTTGCCTGCAAGTTTCCTGTAGAGTTCTTCTGATTTCAGTCTGTCTGTTTCTCCTGATTCTCTTCTGCTTAATTCTCCAGGCAATCTTTTGCCAATGTCTGCCAAATCTCCGCTCTCCGCCGCTTCCAGTTCTGTGGAGGAGTCAGTGCTTCCTGTCTGCAGGCCCTGCCTGCTGTCTGTCTGCTCCTGCCCAGTACTCCTCAGGTCTTTCCTGTCTATCTCATCATCTATATTAATATGGCTGTTCTGCCACTGCTTCACCTTCTCAGGCTCCTCTTTCATTTGTTGTATTTCCTTCTCACTCAGTGTCCTTGCCAACACTGAGATCTCACCTATGTCCATGGCCTCCTCTGAAAAAAAAGATGAAGGGAAGGTAAAAGTTTGCTCATCTTTAGGTTTAAGTGAGCCCTAGACTATGGACACCTGTGCTCCTGACAGCTGGGAAGGTGGCCCTGGGAATAGCTACGGTCAAAGGTTCTGCAAACTTAGCTGACAGCACATCTGCCAAAAGGCAGATGAAGGTGACAACATTCACTGAGCCCCAATCCTGTCCCAGGCACCACGTCAGGGGCTGTGCAGGCCTTGCTGCTCAGGAGTTACCAGTCCCAGTGCCCTCCATCCAGTTTTGCAGTAGAGTGAATGAAGAGAGAACACATGTCACTGTGTAGGGAGAATTCAGTCTCCTGAGTCTTCTCAACCCTATTCTCTTCCTCAAAGCCCTGGTCTCTAAGGTGCCTGAAGAGCCTCTTAAAAAGCTCACAGCATGAGAAAGGCTGCCATTTCAGGGGAAGGGCAGTGCTGTCCCCTGCTGCCCAGAGAGGGGAGTGCCCAGCCCTGCCAGGAGGGAGTGGGGGGGATGGGAGGAGAGGTAGCTCCAAGCTCTGTTGTCTCTCTTCACATCCACTGCTCCTGTGCCTTCTCAGAGGAGCTCCAAGGGCATGTGGAGGCAGAGACGACGACTGAGCCTCTCGCTGAAGGGACCCAGACACCACATGGCAGGGATCAATAATAAATGATTGTCACAGGCGGCTCAAATGCCCAGAACCCAGCCCAAGATTCCTGCTATCTCTTCCTGAACCTGACAGATTTTAGCCTCAAAAGGCAGCTTGGGCATCTGCAGCAGTTGAAGAACAGGTCCTGAGGCTGGGCTCTGTCCCTCTTGGTGCATAAAGACACCAATCCACAACTCTGGCTCCCTTTTAATTGCCACGTGGCTGTAGGGTTGGGAAAAGCACTGAAGGAGGGGAAATGGGCAGCCAGAACAGTATGGAACCATGTCAAAGCTCAGGGTCTCCAATCAGATCCCCCAGAAGCCTCTCTCTATCCATGTCCTCTCCATAAAGTCAAGCCAATACAGGCATACCTCACAATGCCATGGTTTCAGTTCTAGACCATGGCAATAAAGCAAATGCTACAACAAAGTCAATCATAGGATTTTCCTTCTTTCTCAGTGTATATAAACATTCATACTGTAACCTATTAATTGTAGAGTAACATAACAAAAAAGTTTGAAGGATGCTGTTAATTACCAAAATGTGACACAGAGAAATGAAATAAGTACAAGTTGTTAGAAAAATGGTAAAACCAACCTACCCCCCTGTATCTGTGAGGCACAATAAAACCAGGTGTGCCTGCGCTTCTGGGGGATCTAACCAGTCCGTATGCATGAAGCCCTTTAACAGAGCGCCTGGTACACAGGACGCCGTGAGCCGTCCGCCTGCTTCCGCCTCTCATCCAGAGGACTCTGGGTGCAAAAATCTGAGTGGAGCCACAGTTACTCCTCTGGGGCCTTCTCTGCTGAGTTGGGGGGCTGGGTTTTCAATTGCCTAACACCCCTTTTTTCACCCCTTCCACTCTGTGGAAGATGCCAGGGCACCTTGAGGGTCACTTGACACAGGGCCTGTTTCCTCTCCGGAGGCTTGGGAGTAAGGATGCCAATGGGAGCATGTCCATCAGGCACGTCCTGGCAGCCGCCTCTGGTGCCAACAGGGAGGTCACCCAACAAGCAAGCTCAGCACCCACCAGCTTATGTGTGCTTACGGACTAATCTATACTCTCTATGGAATCAAAGGCTCTTTTCTCCTTTACAATTCCTAGCAGGGACAGAACACCCTGCAAGCAAGTTAAACATGGGCTCACTTGAATTTACTTCCTAATCTGCAGTGAGAGCAGTTTCACATGCCCTACCTTCTGCTAAGGCGCCCCAGTGATGCAATGATTAAGTGTATGGATGCCAACTCAAAGGTCTAGTTCAAACCCACCAGCTGTAGTCTGCTTCGGTCATGAAATACAACTTTGGAAGCTCTATGGGAAAGCAGGACTCAGTCCTACAGGATTACCAGACTTGGTTTGGTTGGTGGGAGCGCAGCACCACCCAGTGGAGGAAAGTGCACGCTGCGGATTGGCCTTCCAGGCGCTGGGCTGCCTGCGCTGTCCCTGCTCTGTCCTGCCCCTCCTATCTGCCGGCCCTGGCAGGTTAGGCAACTTTGCTCAGCCTCCTCCCTGTCTCTCCAGAACACCTTCCTCCTCGGGTGACAGGTTCTGAATGAGGTTACTCCTGCATGGTGCCAACCTGGCACACAGGGGTGTGAGTTACTATGCCACCTAGGTCTGCTCCCGGACACCTCCTGCTTTCACCTCTCACCTGAGGAGAATTTCTGGTTCCAAAATCCTGGGGAGCCTAAGTCAGGGGACTTGACCTCCCCATCTCCAGGAAAGCAGGGCTCTCTTATGAGCGCCACACTTCCAAGTCTGCATCGGACAATCTCACTCACACACACACACACACACACACACACACACACGCTGGGGACGCAGCAGCACACACTTTTTGGGCCCATGACAAGTGCTTCCTGGATGCTTAATAACTTAAGGACTAATAAGGGGACTCTCCCGTCAGGAGGTGCGTCTCTCTGTCCAGCCTCTAACCAAGGGTGTGGACAGAAGGCTGGGTAGAGTCTCACCAAGCCCCTGGCCTGGGGAACACCATCAGGTAGCCATGGAGACAGCAGAACAGAGCTCTGACGGGGCCTTTTTCACGGGTCCAGAACCCACCTTTCCTTTCTTTGAGGGTCTCCCTGTAGTTTGTTTTCTTCAGCTCTTCAATGATGCCCTTGTTGGCATCGTCCAAGGCCTGTGGGCGGTAGGAGGAGCTGGTGAACTTTCTTAACCCTGCTATGGCAGCTTCATCTTTTTCTTAACTTGCTTAACCCTGTCCACACCTGCTTTCCTTCAGACTCCTCTAAAGTCCTGGCGTGAGGTTAACAATTCTCAGTGACTGAGGACTGGTCACCCTGGGGGGGACGAATGATGTGTGCTGTCAGAGAACTCCACAGTGCTTTTCCGGGAGCACAGGCAGTATTTGGGGGATTGTGTCTGCTCCTGACAATGCAGAAAAGCAATTCAAGCCCCTAAGCACTTAGCCAGGCAGGGAGCACTCCTCATGGGGCCTTGCACACTAATCATAGGGCGAGGAGCGCAGGCTGGGAACTGCTCTGCCTGTGTCTGCAGCTCCTCTAACTCCAGGATGTAGTCCCCAGTGCTGGGCCTCAGCCTGTGAACAGCTTCTTCCTCACAGCATATGGCGGAGGCCCAGGGGGAGGTGCTCCTAAACAGCTCCTGAAGGCCTTACAGTTTGCTTCCCATGAACTTTCCAGTTTAAAGATGCTAATTCAGGAGGAGGAAGGGCAGAGTGAAGAGCAGCTGGGGGATGGGTTGTGGGGTAAAGGCCCTGCCTCCCCACAGTGGGGCAGGCTCAGTGGCCTCTCAACTCCCTTTTTGTTGCTTATCAGTCTCCCGGTGCAGCCAATAACTGGTTGACTCTAATGAAAAGGCTAGAGGTGCAAATCTATTCTGAGGTGCCTTGGAAGAAATGTCTGGTGATCTACCTCCAAAATATTAGTGACCAAAAACCTTACAGCACATTTCTCTGAAACACATGGGGTTGCCGTGAGTCCGAATGCCATCCCATTGACCACAAACAAGGGTGCGAGTTTGTGTTCCTTTGCCTGCTGACGACGAGCTTCCTGAGAGCCATGGTCATCATCAAACCTGAAATGCCTCTGGGCTGCGCAGCCAGCAGTCTTGTGCTCTGTAAATATTTGCTGAACTGAATTGCATGCTGTCTTTAGATACTTGCTGAGGAAGATGTGGCAGAGGCCACACTGTGAATCCTGGAGTACATGACAGGGCTTCAGGAAAGGCTAGCTCTCTTCTCTGGACGCCAGGATTACCGTCAGGTTGTTCCAGGGGTCACCCGCCCCCCCCAAAAGAAGGAAAAGGACAGCAATGGAGAAGGCCTAGGACACCACAGGAGGTGAGGATGCAGAAGCTAGAGTGCCGCCTGCTGGGAGATCATGGGAGTAACTTCTCCACAGGAAGTGAGTGGCCTCTCCCAGGACTAGCTTGCTAAAGAACCACTGCTTCTCTGCGGATGCACTGACTGTCTGGGGTCACTGTCACCCTGCCCCAGTGAGCCCTGCTATCCTGATTACAGCTCCAGGGTCTCTTTCCTGGCACCCACAGAGTCCCTCAGCAACTCCCTGGCCTCTGACACACCTGTCCTCTTAACCCTTTCCGGAAAGCCCAGCAGGAGGCAGAACTCTACTTCTCAAGGATGCACACCCTCTTCCAAGGTCCCCTGTGGCTCCAGGCTCATCCTTGAGGATGCCAGTTACACCAAGCTGGCCCTCGCTCAACCACAGGCAAGCTTCCCATGGCCAAGGACACTGTTCACTCACTCTAGCAGGTGTTTACAGGGTCTAGCTGGGCTCCAGAATTCTGACCTGGGGAGGGCTGGGGGGCAGTCCAGGGTAGTTAGAGTCTGTGCTACGTACTGTGCATCTGGGAGTGAGCAGGCCCACGGGTGGATGTCTCTCTCAAGCGGTTCTGGGAGGAATAGAGGGGTAGACAACTTCTCCAAGCTTCTCCTCTGGTCTCTGCCTCATGACACTAATGTCCAAGTCAGCCCAGCCCACTAGGACTTTCTGTTATGATGGAAACATTCTGAATCTCCCTCCCACGTTCTCAAAGACTCATTTACAGGGCCTCTTCTACATCTTCTTTCAGTGAACGTGTGAACTGAAATTGCCACATTGGCTTTAGGCCTCACTGAGCAATGCTGGTCCGGACAACTGTCATACAGTGTGCTGTGGGCTCAGACAGTGACATACGAGGTTATGGGAGGCAGGGGAGGGACAGGTGCCTCACCTCACCCACAATGGGAGGGTCAGAGGAAACCTCTGGGAAGAGGTGACATCAAACCTAAAGGGTGAGTGGGAGTGAGCAGCTAGAGGAGGAGGGCTTAGACTATTCTCGGCAGGAACACCAGCAAACACTAAAGCTCAGAGGCAGAGGGAAGGCTATCCAGGCACTCACAGAAGTACTGAAAGCCCCGCTTTGTCCCGCCCAGGAGGAAGAGAGCCAAGGGTGCCAACAAAGAGTGTGGAAAAGAGAGTGAGGAAACTGGACTGCATTTTTCTTGTCACCCTGAGGAATGGTTTCTAAACTCTGTGTCTCAAGCCGATGGGCTTGAGCATGACAGAGACTCTGAGGATTGGTGCAGAATGGGGCGAGGTTCACATCTGTTCACAGGGTCACTGTGACTCAGTCGACTCAACAGCCGCTCATGATAACAACAACAAAATCTATTTAAAATTAGCTTTTAAAAAAATAGGTTTCAGTTGGCATGAAATGAAACACAAGGGAACATGTATGATGTTTTTATCAGGCACCATCAAGTGATGACTTACAGTGATCCTATGGAAAACAGATGTGCCCTCTGCCCTATTGCGTGCCATGCTCAAGCCCAGGGTGTAATCACTGAGTCAATCCATTTCATGGAAAGTCTTCCTCCCTTTTGTTGACCTTCTATTGAAGTGTGATAGTTCACAGTAGCACTTCTTGTTTTGAATAGAAACATGTGTACTGGGTCACTACCTGAGAGATTTTACCACTGACGGCAGGGGCAACATTTGAAAGCTCCTGGCTCAGCCTTGACCGTGTGCTGAAGCCAGTGAGAAGGCTGGGGAGCTAGCGCCTGAGGGCCCGCTCCAGGCCCGGCTAGGGGGAGGGGTGGGCAGCCGGCTGCCCGCAAGACCCACGCCTGGGCCCCGGCAGGGTGAAGGGGCTGGTGCTGACAACAGCCGCCCGCGCCCCAACGCCCCACACCCAAGGTCCCACTGGCGAGAATGCTCACACTGATGATCGCCTGCTGCGCCTTGCTGTTGTGGACGACCTTCGCCCTCTCCAGGGCCTTCTCAAAGTTGCTCACCGCGGACTCAAAGTCTCTCAGCTTCACTGGAGAACAGGAGAGAAGTGGCAGGTAGGTTGTGACACAGTGTGCTGCAGGTACCAAACCACCATCCTCCCCTCCCCGGCACATGACTGGGCCCACCTCCCACTGAGGAGCTGAGCCTGGGACCCTGAGCCTCGGCTTTAAGGTAAATAACAGGGTCTTTGAGGGACAGGACTGTATCAGGCCTGTCTGTGCACATGTGTTAGGGGTGGGGAGGGGAGACGGAGGAAATTCTCCCTAGCATTAATGCCCCATTTTCAGATCGCTCAGAGAAGAAAATTATTTTTAAAATATTTATTTATTTTTTTTTTTTTTTTCAAAAACACTGTTCAGGTCAAATCATCAGTGGCCTGTTTGGGACCACAGGCAGCAGCGGGAGCCTCAGTGCAGCTCGGCGTGGCTCGGTCTAGCGACCAGCCAGTTTACAGAGGAGCTGGGGAAGGGATGACCGAGTGCTTTTGTCCTTTACAGGACCTTAATTTCAAGAATGAAAAAGGAAATGCTCACCAGCCAGGACCTGGCAACCCCACGGCTGTTTTATAACTGAGTACACCCACCAAGACCCACCACTTCCTGAGAACTGCTCTGGGATTTATCGAAGAAAGGTCTTGAAGTCCTAAGGGAAATGTCAAGACGCTATTCCTCTGGAAGAGAGTCTCATGTGCATTTGGAAGAAATGTGGAGTCACAATAAATGAGATCACCACACACTCCTGGAGTTTGTTCAGTGACCAAGGTCTGCGGAGCAGCCTGAGGCTGCTTCCTGGGAGTCAAACCTGAAGGAGGATTCCTTTTGCTTTTAACAACTGAGGCTGTTACCTTAGTAACAGCTCTTGGGGTTGTTTTCTCCTGTATCTGTATATCTTCTAAGCCATAAACATGCTTTGCAGGGAAATGCCTCCCTGTTACCGTCAGAGACATTCGCAGCAGATGTGAGGCAAGAGGGCAATGATCACAGAGCGGTTCAGACGCCAGGTCCTGTTCCAAGTGCCTAAGTGTTCACTCCTTTCTCACAACGACCTGTTGCTGTTGGGTCACTTTTGAGGCAGAGGGATCAGTAGGCCACTGCCTGAGGGTGTCCAGGGCTTTATATCTTCATGAAGCCAACTCTCACATCTTCCTTCAGCAGATTGCCTGGTGGGTGTGAACCCTAGACCTTCAGGTCAGCAGCAGAGTGCACCACCAGTAGGTACTGTGATTCTATTTAAATATGAAGACACCAAGGCACAGAATGGTACCCTATCGGGGTCCCTAAGCCAGGAGATGCTCTGGGCCAGAGCCCAGGCTTACTCCTCCCCACAGGGAAAACAGGCCAGCAGTTACTGACTTGGTTCTCCAGAGGCCCTAAGTCCTCAAAATGGACTCTGGACCACACCAGCCCTAGGAGTAAACCTCAGAAGCATGGAGGAAGCTGCCTAAGAACAGGAAAGACAGTGGGGAAAGCCACTGAGATCACGTCTGACATGGCTGAGCTCATGCAGTGGATTCCTTTTTGTCTCAGGAAGGGCTCTAAGCCCACGAGATCCTGTAGCACAGACCCCTCTTTAACCTCCCTGCAATTTCTGGCTCCCACAGGCTCTAGCCCACACAGTCTTCAGTTTGTCAAAGCGGCCAATTCCTGCCTGCCTTCCTAAGGCTGTTTCTGTGGCTGGAAAATTCAGTCCTCAGTTCTTCCAACAGCCTTCTCATACTTAAAGTTACGTCCTCGGATATGAAGGCAGGCAATAATCATGAGTTTGGTCACTACTGTATGTCCAGGCTGCCACCCAGAAGGAGGCCAGTAAGTACCTATACAACAAATAAATGCATGAATGAATGAATGAGTAATTATACTCTTGATAGTGGCACCTCCCTCTACTGGATATTAGCCACGTATCTATGAGAGAGGCAGCTTAGCACAGTAAGAGGCTGAGCTTTGGATTAACATGGAACTGGATTCTAGTCCTACCTCCATCATTTACTAGCTGGGCACGTAGGGCGATCACTTTTGCAATATTGTGTTACACGGACAGCATGCTTGGAAATGTGGAAGGACAGTGAAGGAGAGGATGACCCTCAACCCCGTGGACTGACAACACAGTGACTGCAGCACCGGGCTTGAGTGTGTCAGAGATGGTGAGGACGGCACAGGATTGGACAGGGTTCACATCTTTTGTTGATAGGGTGGCTATTGAGGAGTTATACTCAACTTGATGGCACCTAACAACAATACAAAAGTTAAAAGAGTATAATGAACTTCTCAACCAAATTAACAATTATCTCTGTTTTTTGTTTTATTATTTTTTGTGTGGGTACAGAAGGAGATTGCCCCTCCTTCTCCAGCAGAACATCTGGTGGATTCGAACTGCCTGCCTCTGGGACTGTAGTGCACCTTCTTGCCACTAGGTCAACAGAGCTTCCTCACAATTATCACTGTTTTGTTTTATACATTCCTTCCCAGCCTCAAACTCTTATTATGTATGTGATCCGGGTGAAAGTTTACAGAGCAGGTTGGGTTTTTATTCAACAATTTATACATATGTTGTGATGTTGATGACAAGCCCCACAATGCAGCAGTATCATCCCACTCCCCCTGTTTACCATCGCCCTTTATCCTTCTTTCCTATTCCTTCCTGTCTGATTGTTATCTCTGAGTAAGTAAGTACTGCCCTTCTGATCTCGCATGGTTGATTGTTCTTAAACCCTCTCTCCCAGGTGTTTCTGTGTATAAGCCTATATATTGTTAGACTGGAAGTTTAGCCACATGGCTATCCAAAGGGCCATAGTCTTGGGAGTTTCATCAGTTACTATCAAACCCATGAACCTTGTCTTTTTATTAATCTGAGTTTTGCTCCACATTTCCCCCCCGCTCTTTCCAGAAGCTCCTACTGTGTGATCCATTCAGAGTAGCAGGCACCACTGGTCTCGGGGTCACGGAGGCTGTGGTTCATGTGGTCTTTCAGTGCCCCAGACTGTCTCTTTGTCTCTTTTATTTTCTCATTCTTCTTTGCTCTGTACCCTTTATCTTCCTTATTTTTTTCACAACTTTTCTGAGATATAATCTCATGTTATAAAACTGACCTATTATGAATGGTACATGTCACATAATGGTTCAGTGACTTTTGGTAAATTTATAGTTAGGCAACCACAACCCAATTTTAGAAAGTTCTACCATCTAATAAAAGTTCTCTCACATGACTCTGGGTAACCTGCTGAGCCATTCAGTGCCTCAATTTTCCCACCTATAAAATAAGGGCAATAATGCTCCCTTCACAGTTTGACATAATAAATGAATGCTAGAGTGCCTGAGTAGAAAGTACCACAGGGAAATGAAGCAACTCAATACACAGGCGTGGTTACTAAGACGTGCACTGGGCTAGGCTGCAGCTGAAACTCTTCAGGAGTACCTCTAGGGTGCTGGAGGTCTGACCCTCATTGCTTACAGAAGGGACAGAGTCTACAACAGAGAGCTGTGTAAATCCCCACTCCCAAAACCAAGCTGAGTAGAACATGGGTTTGTATGTTCAGCCCACAGTATTCCCAGCTCTGGGTGGCAGCAAACACAAGGCAAGGAGGCTGGCAGGAAAGATGAAGTGTCTCTGAGCCCATACCTTGAGCCTGTGCTACCAGGACGCTGGCATTCAGCTGCCACTCAATATCCCCTTCCTCCTCAGCACACTGCTGGGACTTCTCGCCATAGGATTGGGCCTGCGAGGCATTATTCAGCTCCAGGTAGCAGCGGCCGATCTCATGGAACAGCCAGGTCTTCTCCAGGGTGGTTTTGGCCAGTGGGATCTTCTCTTCCCACCTGGGGGTATGAAGGACCAGGGTTAGTACCTTCTGCTGAACCCTGTCACATAAGTCCAAGTTTCCTGCTGAGCATACCTTTTCCCCAAAAAAATGCTGTCAAGGACCTCTCTAAAAAGCTGAAGAGTTTAAAGACTAAGGTGTGTTATCCAAGCTATGTACTTGCAATTGCTTCGTATGCATGTAAAAGTTGGATACTGAACAAGGAAGAATCCTTGCCTCTAAGTTGTGGTGGACTTTTGAATATGCCACTGCCTGCCCAAAAAAAACATACAAATTTCTCTTGGAGGAGGTATGACCAGATTGCTCCCTACTGACAGTTATGGTGAAACTTTGTCTCACAGACATTGGACATGTTGTCAAAAAGTGCCAGTCCTTGAAATAGGACCTCAAGCTCACTGCCAAGACGTCAGAACCAACTCATAGCTGACCCTCCAGTGGGTTTTCAAGAGGCTGTAAATCTCACTGGAGGAGATAATGTATCTTTCCCCTGTGGCGCAGCTGGTGGATTTGAACCACAGTTGACAGTGTGACTTCTTACCTAATAAGCTACTAGAGTTTTAAGCATCAATGGGGATCCTGAGCCCAGCGCAGGACAGGGCAAGGTTTCGAGCTGTGGCTCACAGGGCTGCTATGAGTTGTGGTTGCAGATCCCTAACAACAACCAGGTCTTTCAGCTAGAGTGGTGGAGTTAATAATCATTACAGTATTTTAAAACTATCAAAGATAGGGGAGCTCTGGTGGCCTAGTGGCAAGGAGCTGCAACTGCAATCCCAGAGGCGCACGGCTCGAATCCACCAGATGCTCTGCTGGGGAAGGAGGGGCAGTCTCCTCCTGTACCAGTCAGATCTGATTTAACGGTACACTCACACAAAAATAATTAAAAAATTAAAAAAATTAAAATTAAAAAAAACTATCAAAGATAATTGTTTACAAGTCTGGAATCAAATCTGATACAATAGTTGAAAATGTTGTTTGATATAACATAAAAGCAATGTTTAAGAGTATTATTAAATGGAATAACTTGGATACTCGTGTCTATTATGAATAAAAAAACAAATTATCAGTAAAAATTAATCAAGATTAAGAGTAGAATTTATACTTGTCTTTGCGTAGAAGGCTGAATTATCACATAAGCAAAGCAGGAACTTCCAGACAAAGCTGTCTCCCAGGGCCGGCTGGCCTCTAGGTCAGGGTCATCCAGTCTGGCCGTTGGGCCATGTGGAACGCTCACACACAGTTCCCAGTGGCCCTACCTAATCACGTGATGTCACAGACTAGCCTCAGAAGGCCAGTGGGCCCACCAGTTCTGGAAGGGGTAGGGATGGAAAGAATCACCTGGAGTGCTTGTAAAGAGACCTGTGCTGCAGCCAGGACATTGCACAGAGTCAGGCTCACACAGGCTTAACTCTATCTACATGCAAGTGTGTGGTAAGCAGGTGCACATTTTTTCACCATGACATTGACATGGTGGGGAGACAGCTAATATTCTAAACTGCAGAGAGGTGTGAATGCACAATCAGACCTACACCCACCTGACGCCAACCCACACCTGCACAATCAGAATTACCAGGGGACATGACTAATAATTGAATATATTTAACAAGTGCTCTAAGTGACTGTTGATTGCAGGGAACTCTGGAGGCCTATTAGTAAGAAGCTGCACTGCAATCCAAAAGTCCCGAGGTTCAAATCCACCAGCTGCTCCACAGGAGGAAGGGCAATCTCTTGCTGTGTGATTCACTGCCTCTGAAAACTCGGTGGTGGGTCAGCTACGTGACAGCACACAACCACCACCACTACTAGGTGACTGTTAGCACCGTGACATCTTGAGAAAATGCTAATTCTACACCAATCAGTCATTTAACTGATGAGTCACAGAAGTTACAGTGACTTGTTCGCGGATGCCTGGCATCAAGGCCAGAGGCTGGGAGCGTGGAGAGGTGGAAGACGTGGCCCCAAGGGGAGGAGGGAGGCAGTTCTGGATCACTCACGTGTCAATGGCTTGCTGGAACTTCCCAAGTCTGGCAAAAACTCTGCCAATGTTGTCGAGGGCCCTTGATTTGGCATCAAGAAGGTCACTGTGGAGAAAGAAGCAAAACAAGAGCAGTTTTGCTAGAAAATAGCTGTGATATATAAGGAGAATAAGCAAAAACAACTTAGAGAAGACACATGCCCAAAGTCAGGGGCCCTGCTGTGAAATGGGAACGATCAGAACCTCTGAGGACCCTTGTGAGTCAGCAAAAGTCCCTCAATCCTTCTAGGAGTCCACCCCAAGAAAACACTGTGACAACATTCACTCAAGTGCTGGACTTAAGAAGAAAAACTAGAAACACCCTAATCATTACCAGGACTTTAGCAATGACAAATTTTGCATATATTAAAAAAAAACCCCAAAAATAACAACAAATCCTAATATTTTAAGCAAAAACATCAGGTGACCAGACAGTGTACAACATACACTGCTGTTGTTCGATGCCCTGACTCACAGCAACCCTGGGCACCACAAGGCAAAACCCTGCTGCTCCAGCACCACTCTCACCATCTCTTCTTGAGCCCACTGCTGCCGTCACTGCATTAGTCCACCTCGTTGAGAGCCTCCCCCTCCCATCAACTCTACCTTCCTGAACGTTATGGCCTTCTCCAGGACTGACCCCTCCTGATAGCATGCTCTAAATATGAGAGACAGATCGTCACCAGCCCTAGACTCTGAGGAGCACTCTGGCTTCACTTCTTCAAGATAGATGCTTGCGTTTTTTTGGAAGTTCACCATACAGGGAATACTCTTCGCCAACACCACAATTCAAAGGCATGAATTCTTCAGTTTTCTTTATTCATTGTTCAACATTCATATGCAGAAGCAGCAAATGAAAATATTAGGGCTTGGGTTAGGCCCTCCTGAATCTTTAAAGTAACACCCTTGCTCTTTAGTACTTTTTTTTTTTTTTAGTACTTTAAGGAGGTTGGGGTGGTTTTGTTTTTGTTCTTGTTGTTTTAGTACTTTAAGGAGGCTTTTGTTGGGTGTTTTTTTTTTTGGTTAACAAATGATCCTTTATTGAAATCTTTTCATCTGTAGCTCCTTAGCTAGCTGGGCAGTCCCCAGCACCACTGTTGATGTCTTCTATGATATCATGAGGGTGGTGGCCATCAACACTACAGCCCACAGATTGGGAAGTTCCCAGGATCTCTTTAATAGTTCCAGAGAGTTCTGTGGCTAAAGAGCAGATCTCATCAAAAGTGATATTTCAGAGAGCTCTGGTGGCCTAGTGGCAAGACAACTGCACTGCAATCCCAGAGGTACGCGGTTCAAATGCGTCTGATGTTCTGCTGGAGAAGGAGGGGGCAATCTCCTCCTGTACAAGTCAGATCTGATTTGACGGTACACGTAAAAATAATACAATAAAAATTTTAAAAAAGTGTTATTTCCACTGTGCTTAATATTTTTCTGCTTCTTTCTGTCTCTGGATGGTTCCTTTAGGGTTTTGATGATCAGGGAAGAGGCAGAAGGCACCATTTCACTCTGGGCCTGTCTGTTCTGAACGGTCAGTTTCACTGTAATCCTTAGTCCCTTCCAGTCCCCGGTGGCCTTGGCAATGTCATCACTGACCTTTTTTGGAGGCAGACCCAGAGGGCTGATCTTGGAGGCCAGAGTGGACATGGCACCGACTTCCCCACCAGTACACCGCAGTTACACCACGACTTTAATCTTGTTGGGGTTGAACTTAGGCAGCATGGCGGAGGTGGCTGGTGTAGGATGAACCCAGAAGCGGGGTGACCGAAGAAAGTTGCACTGAGGCCTCCTCCAAGCCGAAAGCCGAAAAGCTTTAAGGAGGTTTTGACAGCAGAATTGCCTAATACAACACGTCATTTGATTTCTTGACTGCAGCTTCCCTAAGTGCTGATCACTGATAAAAAAAAATAATTAAATTCTTGGCAACTTCAAGTTTGTCTCTGTTATCATGATGTGTTTATTGGTCCATTTGTGAGAATTTTTGTTCTTTAGGTTGAGGTGCAATCAACACAAATGGCTATAATTTTTTAGTTTAACAATAAGTATTTAAAGTTTTCCTAACTTTATGAAAACAAGGTTGTATCATCTTTGTATCACAGGCTAAGTCTTCCTTCAATCCTGACGCCACATTCTTTGTATAATCCATTTGCTCAATTATTTGCTCAATATATAGACACAATATAGTCTGTCCCATTTATGTTGAAAATTGTTGTTGTTATGTGCCGTCAAGTCATTTGCGACTCATAGCGACCCTATGTACAACAGCCCTAAACCCTGCTCTATCCTGTGCCAATTGCATTGCCTCTGACACACCCATCCTGATTACCCCAGTCACTGAATCAATCCACCTCATAGAGGGTCTTCCCCTCCTGCGCTGTCCCTCTACCCTACCAAGCATGATGTCCCTCTCCAAGGACCTGTCTCTCCTTACAACATGTCCAAAGTATGTCAGACGAAGCCCCAGAATCCTTGCCTCCAAGGGGTAGCCTGGTTTAACCCTCTCGAGGATGAATCTGTTTGTTTTCTTGGCAGTCCATGGTATATTCAATACTCTTCTCCAGCAACACAGCTCAAAGGCGTCAATTCTCCTTCTATCCTCCCTAGTCATTGTCCAACTCTCTGATCCATAACAAGTGATTGCAAAAACCATGACCTGTATTCAGGCGGACCTTAGTCTCCAGAGAGACACCGGTGCTCTTGAGTACTTTAGAGAGGTCCCTAACCGCAGACTTTCCCATCGCAATACATTTTTTTATTTCCTGGCTGCTGGTGCCAAGAGTGTTGATAATAGTAATAAAAAAAACCCTGAGACCAGTGCTCTGAGGTAAACTTTAAATCTGAAACAAAAAAAATATCCTCTGAAATCTTTTTAATAGCAAACAGCAGTTTATTTTAATGAGTTAAAAACATCTGCCTTGAGCACTAGGCTCTCTTAAGATTTACTTAAGTGGCACTAATGTGACAATAGCAACCAGAAAGATTAGAAAGGGATTTGAGGGGGCAGTGAATACATGTTAAAACTGGAGGAGAACTCAGAAAAGGAGGGTGCAAATGGCTGTAAATGAGAATATAATAAAGTCACTGAATTGTACACGAAGAAACTGTTGAAGTGGTGAATGTTTTGTTATGTATATTCTCAATAAATACAAGCGAAATTTTTAAAAAAGTCCATAGGGTGCGGTACTGCTAATCCAAAGGACTAATGAAGCCTGTGCCCCTCAGCCTCCACAACCCTGAGACCAGAAGAACTAGATGGTGCCTGACCACTGCTGCCTGCTCAAGCCGAAACCCACTGCCGCCAGCCTGATCCGACTCACAGCAATCTCCCACCAGATTTCTGACGCTGTAAATCTTTACAGGATTCAAGCCGTCAACCTTGTTAGTAGCTGGACATGTCATATATTAGCCACCAGTGTTCTCTGAAAGGGATCACACTCGTGGTCCTAGATAAAGAGAGGGTAACTGTGAAACAACTCAAAATGACGAGAAAAAGATCAGGCTTACTGATCTGACAAAGACTTGTGGAATCCTCAAGGCCATGGCCATTAGGTACCCTTCAAGCCTGGAACTGAACTTTCATGGCTCAACTTCCACCCTAACAACAGTTCTGTACAGTAAAGAGTAACTGCAGGGAGACAGACACTCCTTGGAACAACCAATCAAACAAGATGAACAGGGATAAAGCTCAGAAGGCAGGAAGAGAAAGGGGGAAAGGTCAAATGGAAAACAGAAGCACATGGAGGAGGGGGAGAAGTGCTATTACATTGAAGGGACTAAATTAATCAATGTTATGAAATAATAAGTATATGAGTATTGAATAAAAAAGAAATTTGTTCTGTAAACTCCCACCCAAATTACAAAACAAAACAAAAAAGGTGTTCCATAAAGTAAAAGACAACTGCTGCCCTCACCATTATCATTAGCTATGAACATGCTTCTTGTTGTGTACCTTTGAGATGGAATCTACTCATAGCTGACCCTCCAGTGGGTTTTCAGAGGTAGTTTAATCACAAGGGAGGAGACTGCTCATCTTTCTCCCACTGGGAGCACCTGGTGGATTTGAACCACATGCCTTTAGGACTACAGTGCAGCTCCTTACTACTAATATAAACATGCTTCCATCTCCTAAAAATACCTCTTCCCTCCTACAAAAATAAAACACCCCTCCAGTGACAGATTCCCTCAACTGGCATCTTCTACCTCCCTCCCTGGGCAAGCCTCCCTATGTTACGTTCCTGCAGCTCCTGCCCCCACATCACTGAATCAGGCTGTGCTTTGGCAGAGGTTCAGGGTCCAGTGTGAAGGTCTCAGTCCCTAGTCTGACTGATTCTCTTTACTTGGAATATTCCATAAGACTTTCCTTCTATTGTCAAGGCTGCCTTTCCAAAATACAAATTAGATCAAGCCAGTCCTCCCTCTAAGGCTGTATCCCACAGAAAAACTCTCAAATACCCTGGTATAGTCCATAGCGTGCTGTACTGCTAACCCAAAGTGGCGCCTCTCTCTCTGGTTCAAATCCACCGCCCACTCTGATAAAGATGGGCCATCTCCTACTGCGTGATTTAAGGCCTCCAAAAAGCCACTGGAGGGTCAGCTATGAGTTGGTTCCAACTTGAACACAAAGGCAGTACGTGTGAGAGTGAGTGACTTACAGGTAGGCATGTCGATGCCAAACCAGATCCAATGTCATGCCTGTCTACAGCAAGAGTTAATAAATTACCTCATGTAGTCAGACTCTTTCAAGCCAGGTTTATTGTTGCTGTTAGGTGTCATCAGATTGGCTATGACTCATAGCGACTCTATAAACAGATCCAAACCCTGTCCTATCTGCCCCATCTTCACCAGCCCTGGTACACTTGACCCCAATGCTACAGTCACGATGTTGATTCCTCTTGTTAAGGCCATTCTCTCTGTCGCTTACCCTTCACCTTTTTCAACATAAATGTCTTTTTCCAAGGACTGGCCCCTTTTAACAACGTGACCAAAGTATGTGAGACAGAGTTTCCTATCCTTGCCTCTAAGGTGCACCCAGCCTGCACTTTCTCAAAATAGCTGTTTGTCCTTTGGCAA